CTGGCTAGAGAATATGAGACTTAAGAGAGAAGTCAATAGCGTGCCCAACGTCATATAGAGAGATGTCAGGGTCTCAGGACAACATCCACTCGGGCGGAGGGCCCTGGATAAAAAAAAAAAAAAAAAAAAAAAAAATCCAGTTTCTCCAGAGAACCAGATTGGTTGTGATCACAACAGATTCCGCCCAAAGGTGACTTCTGCCCTAGGTGGCCTAGGGCGAGATCTTGTGAGCACAGGAAGCCCCAGCTGAAGAAAGCCAGACTTGTAACCTCGATGGGAGCATTCCTGTAGGATGCCTTCCATTTCTACTGGACCCACTTACGGGTCTTCATGTCCCACTTAAACTTTATCAGAGTACCCTGCAACAATCTCGGATTGAACCACCAGTGGAACGTTGAACAGGGCAAAATGTGGCACTCTTACAGGCCTGTCTCCCCATCTGTCCAACGGATATATTTTGAAATAACGAGAAACGCTCCCTGCGTTATGCGCGAGGGCCAAACAACTGCCTGAATCATTGCTGCTGTACTTGAACGTGGCTTCCGCCAGCCGGGTTTCGCGGGTCCTACGGAAAGCGCACCGCGCCGCCAAGCTCCGCGCCCTGGCCCCGCCCCTTTGCGCGCGGCGCCTTGGCCCCGCCCACAGCGGGCTCCGCAGATTCGCTAGGCTGGGTTTTCAAGATTCTTCGAGCACTTCTTGGTTGAAAATTCTCATTAGATTCTACGACGACTTTGAGCTGTAGTCATCTCCACCTGGATCGGAAGTAGACTGTCCCCTGAATCGTCCTACTCAGGCGACCGAGAAAGGTGGCTAAGTCTACCACCTTTGGCAGGGCTTGGTTGACTTGGAGTTATTTTCTTGATTCCGCCAAGGCAGGTGAAGGGAGGAAATGGTTGAAGCCAGTGGCAGCGGCGAATTTGCAGCCTTTGGCCGCGCAAGGAAGAAGCCAGGAAGACAGGCAAAGGAGCGCGCATCCTGTTAACTGATCGCCCCGCCCGCCTGACGAATCTGCGTCTATTCAACGCGCCACTCAAGCCTCCCGAGCTCTGGATGGCCTCCTCCCCTCCGCCCCGCCCCCTTTCCCTCAGAGACTAGGCGCAGCTTTCGTCACCGCCGATTCGTTAAGAACTCCAGACGGGAACAGCTAGATACCGGGGGGAAGCCTACTCTCCAGGGAATGCGACCAATCTCCAGGTTCCCTAGGCTGCAGTTTCAGCGCCTTCTAAGGCCCCAGTCGAGACAAGGCCGCTGTTCTCGCCTTCGTGGATCGCCCGGCAGCGCCCGTGGCGAAAGTGCGAATGCAGACGCGGTGCCCGCTGGACCTCGCGCAGGTGGTGGTGGTGGTGGTGTTTGGTGCGCGCGCCGGGGAGGTGGTGGTGGGGGGGCGCCGCCGCCGCCACCGCTGCGGGGCCGGGTGTCGCGCTGCCGCCGCCGCCGCCTCGCGCTGCTGAGTTGCTGCGCGGGGTGGGGGGAGGGGGAGCCGCGAGCTGGTGAGTAGGGCCGTGGCGCGCGTGCGCGGGGACGGGGGGTGCAGAACGCGCCGGGGCGGGAGAGGGTAGCGGCGCGCGTTCCTTCCACCCCCCCCGCCCGAATCCGGGGCTGAAGCCGGGTCTCGGGCTCGGTCTCGCGGTGTTTCCAACGCCCCGAAGAGGTGCCACCTCTCGGCCGGAGGATCGGGGCGCGGGGACGGGAGCGGCGGTGTGGGAGCGGGAGCCGGGCTTGGCCCGGGCCGCTGGCCGGTGAGGAGGCGGGAGGGGGCGGGGCCTGCCAGGGGGCGGGGGAGGGGTCTTGCGTGGAGGCCAAGTGGGGCGCGCGCTGGGAGAACGGGAAGGGAAGCGGGCGCGAGATGGGCCTGGGAGCCGAAGGGTAGAGTTGGGAAGTGGGGAGAGAATGGGGTGTTGTGGTGAAATAGGGTGCTTGGGGCAAAATCTGACAGAGCCCCGGGTCATGGTGAGGTGGGCAAACTGGAGTGATGGGAGAGCCTGGAATCTGGGCTAGCCAATGAGGGGACAGCAAGGGAGTCAGGCCTAAGTGCTGGACCCCTCTGCGTATCCCTCTTTTCCTAACAGTGTAAATGAGCAAAGATGGATCAAGAAGGTGGGGGAGATGGGCAGAAGGCCCCAAGCTTCCAGTGGCGGAACTACAAGCTCATCGTGGATCCTGCCTTGGACCCTGCCTTGCGCAGGCCTTCTCAAAAGGTGTACCGTTATGACGGAATTCACTTCAGTGTCAACGTGAGTGCCTCAGGGCTTTCCTAGCCCTCTAGGGAATGCCAGGCCCTCCTTTCCTCTGATATTCGGTGCAGCACTAAGAACCCCCATGCCCATAGCTTATCAAAAATGAGGGAACCCAGCTTTTTTGCATAGGGCTATCCAAATGGGCTTCTTAGAGCTTAGTAACCTGGTTCCGTCCTAAGCAATCTTTCTGTTCCCTGCTTTGCTTACTAGGACTCAAAGTACATACCAGTGGAAGACCTCCAAGACCCCCGTTGCCATGTCAGATCCAAAAACCGAGACTTTTCCCTTCCAGTCCCTAAGTTTAAGGTAGGTGTCTGTTGGTTCCCACGTGCCGTGGCCCTTAAAGAAGGGTGCTGTCACTCTGCTCTTCAGGTAGCCCAGTAAAAAAGGGGTAATAAAGATCTAACTTCTGAGTCAGTAAGGCTGCAGTGTTCTGGAGGGAAGGTGCACTTGTATAGCCAAGATGTTCCAAGCATATCTCCGGTGGTGAGAGCGTTGATTCTTGAAGGATGAGGCAAGGGCAGGCTTAGCTGCTGTGTTTCTCATTGTGTGTTCCTAGATAGTATATGGCACGGCAGTAGGACGGTTTAGTTTTTTAATAAATAGAGCAACAGTACTGCTTCCCTGGAATCTTCTTTCCTTAACTTTCATTTAGCCATGGGATTCCATCCTGGTGCCCAAGAGTATTTCCTTTTCCCCATCAAAGTGTGATGGTTATCAGACCTTGGACTGATCTTAAAAAAGTAGTGATTCTTATTTTTCTTCACTCATTCTTTATTACCTGTTAATTGTTCCCTTTAAAATAGTTGTTGGGGACCCTTTGTCCTCTTTATTTTGTACATTTTCTATGCACATTCTCTTTCACATCTCTGGTTTTGATTGTGGTGTTGGTGACTTCCAGGTACATTTCTAGTTGTCGTCATTCTTGAACGTCAGTATGCCTGGTCGAGGGATTGTTCATTTGTATGCCCCATAGACATCTCACACTCGAGATTTAAAATAATTTTTATTCCATCAATCCTGTTTTCCCTTTTATTTTCTCTTTACTGATAAGTGACAACGCTGTCACTGAGTTACACAGGGTGGCACCCAATGTTTTGTTTTGTTTTTATCTTAATCTTTCTAGTCTCACTGCAATTCCCTAATGCAGATGCTTGTATTTTACCTAATTTCCTTGCTTCCATACTATTTCATACTCAATTTTGCTCTCACTTATTTGACTTTACTGTCATTTCTGTTTCCCAAGTCTGTTTCAAAATATCAATATGTGTTGTCATTAATTTACTAAACCTTATTCTTTGTCTTGATGCTGTTCCTGTGTTACACCCATACTATGCAGCTACACAGTTTCTAAAAATATATACATATACATATGATACAGGGTCTCGCTGCATAGTTCAGACTCTAGTGATCTTCCTGTCTCAGACTCCCTAGTGCTGGGATTACCCGCATGCGCCACCACACCGAGTTTTAGGGCCAGCACAGCGTGATTGGGGTTCCAGGCTGGCATTGTATGTGGTACTGGGGATCGCACTCTGGACCTTGCACTTGCCAGGCAGGCACTGATGCTGCTGAGCTATCTCCCCAGCCCTAAATTTGCTTTTTGAGACAGGGTCTTGCAGTGTAGTTTAGCTGTCTTTGAGCTCACTATGTAGCCCAGGCTGGCCTCAAACTGATGGTGAATCCTCCTGCCTCAGCCTCATGAGTCTGGGATTACAGGTGTGTACTACTACACTTGGCTTGTTCTTGTCCTCAAAGTTCTTGTTTTTGTTTTTTGTCTTTTTTTTTTTTCTCCAGTACTGGGGATCAAATTTGGGACCTTCTGCTTGCCAGGCAGGTGCTTATGCCGCTGAGCTGTATCTCCAGCTGTTGTTTTTTTCTTTTTTTTTTTTTGGTGGAACCAGGGATTGAATTTAGGCCTTTGCGCTTGCCCAGCAAGCGCTTAGTCCACTGAGCCAGCTCCCCGGCCCTTTGTTGTTTGTCTTTTTGAGGGAGGGTCTGCTATGCTGTTCAGGCTGGCCTTGAGCTCACTTTGTAGCCCAGGCTGCTCTCAAACGTATAAAGATCCCCCTGTCTCAGCCTCCCAAGTGCTAGGATTACAGGTGTGTGACTCCACACATAGTAAGAACAGTGCCATCTTTATGAATCCTCTTTTGATTCTACTCTGGGCAAAGGTTTCTTTCCCTTGGGCTTCCAGAGGTACTGTCTGAAGTTTTGCTGAGGCTGTGGCACCTCTTTCCACTTTGTATGTTTAGAGTCTCACCCATGGCAGTAACTTGGGGCTAGCAGATTATTTCTTCACCCCTGGTTTCTTTTATGTTTATGCCTGAGTTATGCTTTTCTCTTTGTGGTTCTTGCCATTCTCTGGTGAGAGGAATTCAGAAAGAGAGGAATTGGGACCAATGTAGTCCTAGCCATTGCCCCTGCCCCCTGTCCTTCAGTGTCCCAGATCTGTTTCTTGACCTCATAGATCTTGTAGTTTCTCAAAGGGCAGAGGGGTGATGGTTGGTATAGAGCAATGGTGGTGAATCCTTCAGAGACATCCAATCTGCAACTCAGTGCCCACTTAAACCCAGTTAAACCTGGATATTGATGTTTAGTTTAGAAGAAGCAGCCCATACGTGAACAAGTAGCACACATGCCATAGGGCACTACCACTGGCATAGTCTCCAGACCGACTCCTGTCTTCTCCACAGCTGGATGAGTTCTATATTGGGCAAATCCCACTGAAGGAAGTGACTTTCGCAAGGCTGAATGACAATGTGCGGGAAACCTTCCTGAAGGATATGTGCCGAAAGTACGGCGAGGTAGAAGAGGTAGAGATCCTCCTTCACCCCCGCACTCGCAAGCACCTGGGCCTGGCGCGCGTGCTCTTCACCAGCACCCGGGGTGCCAAGGAGACAGTCAAAAACCTCCACCTCACCTCCGTCATGGGCAACATCATCCATGCCCAGCTTGACATCAAAGGTGAGGGCTCCCTGCCTGCTGCTCAGGTTGGTCTTCAATTGAAATTGCATGTGCTAATGCCTGTTGAGTCAGGCAAGTAATCAGGGTCATGGTCTTTTACCTGAATTTGGGGCTAGATATGTTTCTGAGCGCAGAAATATTTTGGAGAATTATGGTATGTACATGATTTTTTTTGTATCCTTGCCAGCATGGCCAGGCTGCTATCTTGTAGTCAAAGCTCTGACTATATCCATAAGAAATTACATTAAAGATAAATAGTGTAGGGCCAGGGAGATGGCTCAGTGGAATAAGCACTTCCCTGGCCAAGCACAAGGGCCTGAGTTCAATCCCCAGTTCTGCAACAAAAAAAAAAAAAAAAAAAAAAAAAAAGGAAAGAAAGATAAATAGTGTAGTAAATCAGGACAGATTTTTTTGTTTTGTTTTGTTTTTTGCGGGACCGGGGATTGAACTCAGGACCCTGCACTTGCCAGGGAAGTGCTTATTCCACTGAGCCACCTCCCTGGCCCCAGATTTTTTTGAATTTAAATTTTTTTTTTTTTGGGCAGAGGATCTCATGCGCAGCTCAGACTTGTAGTGCTCCTCCTGTGTGAGCTTCCCCCGCTGTGGGATTACAGGCGCGCACCACTATGCCCGGTCTTGTTGCTGGCTCAGCATGCCTGGGGACGGGACCAGCGCTGCATGTGGTACTGGGGATCAAACCTGGGTCCTTGAGCTTGCCAGGCAGGAGCTTAGACTGCTGAGCTATCTCCTTGGCCCCAGAAGAGATTTTTTTTTTTTTTTTAATTTGTGTATTTGGTACAGGGTCTCACTACACAGATTGGACTTGTGGTGATCCTCCTGTTTTCAGCCTCCCTAGCACTGGGATTACAGGCATGAGCCACCATGTATGGACTTCATTGCTGGCTCACTGTGCCCTGGAGGTGGGACTGGGGATTGAAATCTGGTCTCTGTACTTGCCAAAGGGGGTACTTTGTCTGCTGAGCTATCTTGCTGGGCCCAGGACAGATTTTTAGTACCATTTTTTATTTTATTTTTTTATTTTGTAACGGGCATGGAACTCAGGACCATGTGCTTGCCAGGCAGACACTGTGCTGCTGAGTTATATACCCAGCCCCACGTTTTTTCAAATACTGCATTTTCAGGTGTTTCTTGGTTTTGAAATTTCACATATTAAGCTTTTGGGGACTGAGAATACAGCTCAGTGATAGAGCTTTTGCCTCATTTATGTGAGGCCTTGGGTTTGATTCCTAGTACCAGAAATAAAAAATAACCAGGTGTGGTGGTACACACATGCAGTCCCAGCAGTGCTGAGCCAGGGGTATCACAGGTTTTGAGTTCAGCCTGGGAAACTTAATGACTTAGACCTTATCTCAAAATAAAAACAAAAATAAAGGCTGAGGATTAGCTTAGTGGGGAAGCTCTGAGTTCAATTGTTAGTACCATCAGAAATCAATCAAAAAGTTATGTATATGGGGCTGGTGAGATGGCTCAGTGGTCTAAAGCACCTACTTAGAACAAGCTTAGCAAAGCACAGGGACCGCAGTTCAATCCCCCAGCACCACATGCCAGCCAGCCCCGCCCCCTGGTGGGCTGAGCTGCCCCCCCACATAAATAAATAAAATTAAAAAAAAAAAAGTTATGTATGCATTTATGTGTATACTCATTTTCTTGGTTTATTATTTTTATTTTTTTGGTTTTGAGACAGGGTCTCTCATTGTAGCCTAGGCTGACCTTAAACCTGAGACAATCCTCCTGTCTCAGCCTCTTGAGTGCTGGCATTTCCAGTGCACTACCATGCCAGCTTCAAAAAATTTTAAATATGAAAATAAAACGACAAAGGGGGGGCCACGTAGATGGCTCAGTAGAATAAGCGATTCCCTGGTAAGCATAAGGGCCAGAGTTCAATCTCTGGTTCTGCCCAAAAAAAAAAAAAAAAACAACCCAAAAACAACAAAAGACTTTGAGATACAGCTTAGTAGTAGAACACATAGCATGTTCAAAGTCTTGCGTTCAATTCTTACAACAAACAGTTCTTAGAGAAAGACTTGTGAAGACAAGTGAAACAGTCCAAATTGCTCTGTTAAGGAGCTCTAGGGAAGAGTGAGCTCTGTGGCAAACTAAGTTATGGTACGATCTACAGGAGGCAGCTGTTAGTTGGCGTTAAGTCAGTCTGCAAGGGAAAGAGGACTGACAGTTCCAAATTTAATTTTACTTTTTGAGATAGTGTCTTACTATGTAGTCCCAGCTAGTCTCAAATTTTGGATAATCCTTCTGCCTCAACTTCCTGTATGCTGGGACTATAGACATGTTACTGCCTTGCCCAGCTCAAATTTGATTTTTAAAAGAATAGTAGATTTTTATATATGATTTTAAGAATTTTATATATTACATTCCAGGGGGCCAGGGAGATGGCTCCTGAGTTCAATCCCTAGTTTCACCAAAAAAAAAAAAAAAAATTACATCCCATCCAAGGTCCCCCTCCCCCCCAAACAGGGGATTGAACTCAAGTCAGCGCTTATTCTACTGAGCCATCTCCCCAGCACCTCAAGTGTTTTGTTTTGTTTTTTTTTTTAATTTTTTTGTCTTTTATTTTTTGAGATGGTCTTGTCATAGTCCAGGCTGGCCTCAAATGTAACAGTCCTTCTACCTCACCCTCGTAAGTACTGGAATTATAGACTTGTGTCATACCTTGCTCCTTTCAAGGTTGTGTTTTTTCTTTTTTTTTCTTTGCTGTACTTGGAATTGAACCCAGGGCTTTCACGCTGAGGTACATTCCTAATCGTTTTTAAATTTTTTCTTTTGAGACAAGGTCTTCTGAGTTGTCTGGCTGGGCTCAAACTTTGAGTCTTCCTGCCTCAGCCTTCCAGAGGGCTGGGGTTACCAGTGCACTCCACCACACCTAGGGCCTCCCAATGTGTCTAAGTCATGATGCAAGGTAAATAAAATTCAATCCTGGGCTGGATTTAGTCTTTAGGTTGCCATTTTGCAGTCTTTATAGGATAAGGAGCATGGAGGGGTTTAGCCTCAGAGAAGCTGGATTTGAATTTCAGTTCTTCCACTGACCAATTTTGTGACTTTGTGCAGGTAAATTTTAATTCTGTGAAGGACAGTCTTCTTCCCTATCGATCATCCCCTGCAATAGTATGGGCAGATGTGTATTTGTAAACTGGGAAATGCTGTAGGATATGTTGCTTGTAGTAGTTAATTGGTAGAGATGAGGTAGATGTTCTCAAAGATAATGATGAGGTAGGAGAACTGAAATTCCCAAACCTGGGCCAGGGAGATAGCTCAGTGGAATAAGCGCTTCCCTGGCAAGCACAGGCCTCTGAGTTCATTCGCAGGTTCTGCCAAAAAAAAAAAAAAAAAATCCCAAACCCAAGATTCTAAGAAATTATAGGAAACAGGAGGGCTAAGAAAGAAAAGCGATCCACCAAATCAGAAAGGAGTTTTGTTGAACTGGGCTGTTTTACCACTGAAATACGTCTCTTTTATAATTTTTTTTTAATTTTTTTTTTTTTTTACATTTATTGTGTGTGTGTGTGTGGCCAGCTCAGCCCACCAGGGGGCGGGGCTGGCTGGCATGTGGTGCTGGGGGATTGAACCACGGTCCTTGTGCTTTGCTAAGCTTGTTCTAAGTAGGTGCTTTAGGCCACTGAGCCATCTCACCAGCCCCTCTTTTATAATTTTAATTTTTATTTCTCACTAGATTGCTCTGGTGGGTTGTGAAATTCTCTCTCTCTCTCTCTCTCTCTCTTCCCCTCCCTCCCTCCCCCACCCCCTTTTCTTTTGATGGTACTGGGGATTGAACTCAGGACCTTGCGCTTGCCAGCCGGGAGCTTGTGCTGCTCAGCTATCTCCCAAGCCCAGGCTGTGAATTTATGATCATCCTTCTTCGGCTTTCTGAGAAGCTGGGATTTCAGGCCTATGCTCCTACCTTGCTAGGCTTTGTTTTCCTTTTGACTATTTGTTGTCATTTCTTTCCCTGTAGGACAACAGCGAATGAAGTACTATGAATTGATTGTCAATGGTTCCTACACCCCTCAGACTGTGCCCACAGGGGGCAAGGCCCTGAGTGAGAAGTTCCAGGGTTCTGGTGCAGCCTCTGAGACGGTGAGAAGCTTGTGGCTGCCATAGCCCTAGCCATGTGGACACAGTGCCTGATTGCCACGAGCAGGAGCCACCTTTGGGAGGTTCCAGACTTTACTAGTTTAGGAAGAGCTAAGAGATATAGAAACTCAAAAAACAGGAATCTAGGATTCTTTTGGAGCAGAGCAAGTTTTTGAATGGTGGCTGATCCTTTTTTTTTTCTCCTTGCCCTACTCTCCTTCTATAGACTGAATCCCGCCGCCGCTCATCCTCTGACACAGCTGCCTACCCATCAGGCACTGCTGTGGTGGGCACTCCAGGCAATGGCACCCCCTGCTCACAGGACACAAGCTTCTCCAGCAGCCGACAAGATACCCCCTCTTCCTTTGGCCAGTTCACCCCTCAGTCCTCTCAAGGAACCCCCTACACATCTCGGGGCAGCACCCCTTATTCTCAGGACTCTGCCTACTCTAGCAGGTACAGAGCACACACCATGTAGATTCTGGGAGTGGCCATCAGGAAGAAGCCTGAAGTTTCATTAAGAGAGCATTGGAAATCCTCTGACGTACTCTCCAGAGTCAGTCAACAAATTGCCGTCTTCAGGGACACTGTCTAGAAACCTTATGTGTAGGGATCTGTTGGTTTCTCAGTGTGATCCCTTGTACTCGGGGAGAAATGGCAGCAGGAATGAGGAAAAGATAGACAAGAAGACAAGAGCTGGGTTAGCCCATCTGCTTGGTTGGCGAGACAACCCCAGGACCACAGTAGGGGTGTATATCTATGCCTTTGCAAAGTTACAAATCACAGGGTGGCCTAGCGACTGATAGCCCACAATATCTAGGCAGGGTGTTTTTGTCACGCTGAGGTAGCTGGACTGCAAAGACAAGCCTCATCCTGTCCTCACTCATACGACCAGTTTCAGCTTCAGCCGCTTCCAACATGATGTATATTTTGAGGACATATAGAGAGGCTTTGGGTGCAGGCAGTGGGATGGTTAGGTTTAGTCACACAAAGATGAGCCCAGTTAACTGTCACGCTTCTTTTCTAGCACCACTTCAACCTCCTTTAAGCCCCGGCGGTCGGAAAACAGCTATCAAGATTCCTTTTCCCGCCGCCATTTCTCAGCATCTTCAGCCCCCACAACTGCCTCCACATCCATCTCCACCACCACTGCAGCCACTGCCGTGTCCTCTTCTTCTTCCTCCTCATCCTCATCTTCATCAACGTCCTCTTCTTCCTCGTCCTCTCAGTTTCGTGGTTGTGACTCAAACTACCCAGCGTATTATGAAAGCTGGAATCGCTACCAGCGTCATGCTTCTTACCCACCACGCCGGGCAACTCGTGAGGAGCCCTCGAGTGCCCCTTTTTCTGAAAGTACTGCTGAGTGCTTCCCACCCTCCTACACCTCATACTTGCCCCCTGAGCCCAGCCGGCCCACAGACCAAGACTACCGGCCTCCTGCCTCCGAGGCCCCACCCCCAGAGCCTCCAGAACCAGGTGGAGGACCCAGCCCGGAGGGAGAAGAAGCTCGGACCTCCCCCCGCCCCGCCTCCCCTGCCCGCTCTGGCTCCCCAGCCCCAGAGACCACCAATGAGAGTGTGCCCTTCGCCCAGCACAGCAGCCTGGATTCCCGGATTGAAATGTTGCTGAAGGAGCAGCGCTCCAAGTTTTCTTTCCTGGCCTCTGACACGGAGGAGGAGGAAGAGAACAGCAGTGCGGGTTCTGGGGCACGAGACACCGGGAGTGAGGTGCCTTCTGGGTCAGGTCATGGGCCTTGCACACCTCCTCCTGCCCCAGCTAATTTTGAGGATGTGGCACCTACAGGGAGTGGGGAACCAGGGGCTACCCGGGAGTCTCCTAAGGCCAACGGACAGAACCAGGTGATGTTGGGGTCCACTGGAGAAGGTACCTGGGACCTGGGAGGCAGGGCTGGACCATTGGGGAGAGGGAAGTGAGCTAAAAAAAAAAAAGTGGGTTTGAGGAAAAGTCCAAGAAATGGGCAACAGCTTACTGTGACCCTCCTCTGCACCCCCGTAGGCTTCTCCATGCTCTTCTGGAGAGGACATGGAGATCTCCGATGATGACCGGGGTGGCTCACCTCCTCCAGCTCCAACGCCCCCCCAGCAGCCTCCTCCCCCACCCCCGCCCCCACCCCCTCCTCCACCCTACCTGGCTTCCCTTCCCCTTGGTTTTCCTCACCAGCCTGCCTACCTCCTTCCACCCCGACCTGATGGGCCACCACCCCCTGAATACCCTCCACCTCCACCGCCACCACCCCACATCTATGACTTTGTGAACTCCTTGGAACTTATGGATCGACTTGGGGCTCAGTGGGGAGGGATGCCCATGTCCTTCCAGATGCAGACCCAGATGTTAACTCGACTCCACCAGCTGCGGCAGGGCAAAGGGTTGACTGCTGCCTCCGCTGGTCCTCCCGGTGGGGCTTTTGGGGAAGCCTTCCTCCCTTTCCCGCCTCCGCAAGAGGCAGCCTATGGTCTGCCCTATGCTTTGTATACACAAGGGCAAGAAGGCCGGGGGGCATACTCCCGGGAAGCCTATCACCTGCCTTTGCCCATGGCAGCCGAACCCCTGCCTTCCTCCTCGGTCTCAGAAGAGGCCCGGCTGCCTCCCAGGGAGGAAGCAGAGCTGGCAGAAGGCAAGGCCCTACCATCGGCCAGCACTGTGGGCCGTGTGCTGGCCACTCTAGTCCAAGAGATGAAGAGCATCATGCAGCGAGACCTCAACCGCAAGATGGTGGAGAATGTGGCCTTTGGGGCCTTTGACCAGTGGTGGGAAAGCAAGGAAGAGAAGGCTAAGGTGAGAGGTTAGGGAATGTGAGACTTCTGGACAAGACAGACCTTGGGCTTCTGCAGCTGTGCGACTGAAAATGAGGAGGGAGGATATCCAGGCAGGTGGAGGGCAAGGCTGTGGGCGCTTGGTGGGACAAAGCAGTTTGGAAGGAAGTTGGAGACTCAAAGCAGCAGATAAGCGAGGGCCTGAGAGTTGGAGCAACTCTGCCTAGGTTCCATCACTGCCATTTATGTATGTGGTGCAGGGCCTCACCACGCAGCTAGACTTGTAGCGATCCTCCTGTTCTCAGTCTCCCTAGCGCTAGGATTATAGGTGTGCGCCACCACATCAGGTCTAGGTGGCTGGCTCAGCATGCCCAGAGGTGGGGCTGGCATGGCCTGTGGTGCTGGGGATGGAATCCCAGGCCCTGTGCTTGCCTAAGCAGGCACTTAGTCCACTGAGCTATCTCACTGGCCTATTGTTGCCATTTATAGATTGAAAAAGTAGTAGTTGTTTCCTAAGGTGTATAGGCTAAATGAGCAGACTTGAGAAAAATGCCTACAAGTGGCTGGTAGAGGAGTAACAGCATCAAGTAGTAACATCATCAAGTAGAGGAGCAAGTAAATGCATTTGTGGGGGCCTGGGGCCTGGGAGTGGGTCTCAGGCTGAAGGGAGTGCCTGGCATCTCAGTTCCCCTGCTGCCTGCAGCCATTCCAGAATGCAGCCAAACAGCAGGCCAAGGAGGAGGATAAAGAGAAGACGAAGCTGAGAGAACCAGGCATGCTGTCGCTCGTAGACTGGGCCAAGAGCGGGGGTACTGCAGGCATTGAGGCCTTCACCTTTGGGTCAGGGCTGCGAGGGGCCCTGCGGCTGCCTTCATTTAAGGTATTCAGAACTGTGGTCTTGTTAAGTAGGGTGGGGAAGGGGCAGAGGGCCTGCTGTGCTTGGGCTGTGGGTATATGGGGACTGAGTGTTTGAGGTATAAGTGGTCCCCATCTCTTTCCTGTCCCCAAGGTGAAGCGGAAAGAACCATCAGAAATTTCAGAGGCCAGTGAAGAAAAGAGGCCCCGACCATCTACTCCAGCCGAGGAGGATGAAGATGGTGAGTGCGGATCAGATGTGGGGGGAAGGATGTAGGTGTTGGAGGTTCTGACAGGAAGGTGAGAAGCTGACACAAGTGGATCAAGGTGTCTTGAAGTCAAGAAGCAAGTAGACACCTTGGTAGAAGGTTAAAAGAAAGCTGCTGTTTTGCCTATAACCCCAGAACTCAGGATGCTGAGGCAGGAGGATCACCATGAGTGAGGCCAGTCTGAACCTTAGAGCAGGCATCTCTAAGAGGTGTCAGAAGCATCCTCTAGGGTTCTCCCTGGATTGTAGCCGAGATTATTACTGTAGTATGCCTGTTTACTTTTTTTTTTTTTTCCTTGTATCTTGTTGTTTCTCTTTTAAAAGTAATAACTTCAGTATCTGACATCACAGAACTTTTTTTTTTTTTTTGCGGAACTGGGGATTGAACTCAGGCCCTTGCACTTGTCAGGGAAGCACTTATTCCACTGAGCCATCTCCCTGGCCCCTATCACAGCACTTTTGAGAGTGAATAAATCGTCTATCCAGGAGCTGGTGAGATGGCTCAGTGGTCTAAAGCACCTACTTAGAACAAGCTTAGCAAAGCACAGGGACCGTGGTTCAGTCCCCCAGCACCACATGCCAGCACCACATGCCAGCCAGCCCTGCCCCCTGGTGGGCTGAGCTGGCCACACACACACACACACACACACACACACACACACACACACATAAATAAATAAATAAAAAATCATCAATCCAAGTCTGACATCTAATGCTTAATTTTCCTACAGCTTTCCCCTCCACCTGTCAAGTCTGATCTATTGGCTAAAAGCTCACATGGCTGGGAAACTTCCTTATCGAGTCATGTATATTTCTCTGGAGTCCTGTTGGCCTTAGTACTCTTTGCTAGGGGCAGGCATAACAGTAGGCTCCGTCTTTCACCCAAGTCAGAAAATGACAAAAGGTGAAATAGGTGGGATGTGCTAAAAAGAAAAAAAAGGTACCCGTGAGACGTTTGTGTTTTCTCTGCTGAGTTTCAGCTTCCTGACTATAAACAGGCCCATCAGGAAGTTGAGCAGTAGTGGAAGGACAGCAGCTTGTGCATGGAGGGGAGCAGTAATTTATTGTTGAGGGAATTTTCCTCACCTCTACTCCACTGATCCAGATCCTGAACGAGACAAGGAGGTTGGTGAGCCAGGACGTCCGGGGACCAAGCCTCCAAAGCGAGATGAAGAACGAGGAAAGACCCAGGGAAAGCACCGGAAGTCCTTTGCTCTGGACAGCGAAGGGGAGGAGGCGTCCCAAGAGTCCTCCTCTGACAAGGTGAGGTGCCGGGGTGTCCAGTCCCTGCTAGGAAACAAGCGTTTCCCGAGTGCTTGTTCCGTAGCCATGTTCTCTCTGGCCTGAAACCCAGGCCATTGAGGCTCAGTGGGAGCTAGTTGTGCCTTCTTGTTAGTCCCTATTTGGTCATTTCCTTAAGGATGAGGACGAGGATGAGGAAGATGAGGAAGATGAAGAGCGAGAGGAGACTTTGGACACCACTAAGAAGGAGACAGAGGCATCAGATGGTGAGTACTGAGTTGTACAGGATTCCGGCCTGGAGAGGAAGGGACTCAGCCTCCTGACTTGCCCTTCCCTGAGCCCACGTAGCCTTTCTGCAGGGCCTACTCTCCCCCCGGCCTTCCAGGGTAGCAGCTGTTCAGCCATATTCTGAGGGGCTAGCACTTTGGATACATTAGACCTGGTACTCAGATGTTCTCTCCTGCTTACCTCTTTTCATAAGGACACCCTAGCAAAATGTGTTCTTTGTCCTGAGTGCTAGACATGAGTTGTGTTCTGTCCATTTATGTGGCTCACTTACACCTGCCTACCTTTAAATCTTCCTTTAAGGCGCAGCAACCAAGCTGTGTGTCCTATTCTGCCCTTATTTCCAGCTGTCATAACTGGACACTTTTTTTTTTTTTAATGTATTTGTCTGTTGCAGGGTCTCACTGTGCAGCTCAGACTCGTGATCTTCATGCTTTCAGCTTCCCTAGCACTGGAATTATGGGCATGTACCACCACACCTGGACTCTGGCTGGCTGAGCCCGCCCTAGGGGTGGGGCTGGCGCAGCATGTGGTGTCCCACATTCTGTCAGCTATTGGGTACATGGCTTAGTTTCTTTTTTATTCAGAAATGTTGAGCAGCCTTAGGTTCTTAGGACATTGCAGTGACTGAGATAGGTGTGATTCCTGCTTTAGAGAGCATGTTGAAGGAGGTAGAGAGGTTTAAGAAACAAATCCTGTCACTGTAGATAGACTGTTTTGAAGAAGATGCAATAGAGTAATGGGGTAGGCAGTGCCAGGTTGTGGACCTGGGGAAAGCTGTACTGTTGTCTGTGGTGGTCAAGGGATGACTCCGAGAAGGGCCACTTCAGTGGAGTCTCTCTTCAAGGCAGAAGGCTCAGTTTTCTGATGAGAGTAAAGGTACAGACCCGTCCCCATCTGTTGACCCCCACTTCCTGTTCATCTTCTGGTTGCTTGCACTTGTTACCTTCTGTGCTCCTGATGTCCTATCTTTCTCATTTAGGTTCTTTGAGCAGTCTAAGTCTTTTTTTTTTTTTTTTTTTGGTGGACTCGGGGATTGAACTCAGGCCCTTGTGCTTGCCAGAGAAGTGCTTATTCTACTGAGCCATCTCCCTGGCATGTGCCCCCCCCCTTTTTTTTTTGTCTTGGAGCAGTCTTGACTAAGTTTTGTTTCTTTCTTTTTGTTTCGGTACTGTGGATCAAACTGTGGATCTTGCACTTGCCAGGCAGGCTCTTAAGCCACTGAGCTATCTTTCCAGCCCTGTTCTGTTTCTTTTTCTATCTTCTCCCACCATTGAGGTTTTTTTTTGTGTGTGTGTATTTTAGGGAAGGGTCTACAAGATGTTCAGTCTGCTAGATCAGACCCGTAGTGATCCACCTCTTTACAGCTTCCCAAGAGCACGTGCCACCACACCCAGTCTCAATTGCCATCTCAGCATGCCCTGGGGGTCATGCAGCTCGGACTCAAACCCTTGTCCCCTGTGCCTGCTTGCAGGCGCTTTAATCCGCTGAGCTATTTGGCTGGCCCTTCCCATCAGTTGTCTTTCAAACTGCTAATGGAATTCTCTCTCCTAAAACACACACCTCTTTACACAGTCTCCTGGCTCCGTGCCTTGCTGCAGCCTGGCTCTGTGGCCTCTGTAATCTAGCCCCTGCTTGCCTGTTCAGCTCTGTCTCACCATCCTCCAGCCCCCTCCACATCTCCTACTTTCCTCTCTCATTTTCCCAGTTATGTTCCTCCAAGATGGTAGAGCTCTGAGATCCCTCAGGGTCCTTCTTATACGTTCCTAATCACGTAAGTATGTAAACCATGTTGTTTTTGAAGCCTATTGCCTCCAGAATCCTTTTTCACAGCCTCTTATCACCTAGGCTTCCCAGAAGAGCCTCTCTGGGAAAGCCAGGTATGACCCATGGGTATAATCCCAGCATTCAGGAGGCTGAGGTGGGAGGATCACAGGATGTTTGAGGCCAGCCTGGGCTACATAGTGAGTATGAGGCTAGCCTTCTGAACTGCATAGTGAGACCTGGTCTCAACAAACAGTAGTAAGTTAGCCCAGAGAATTTATTTGTTTATTTTTTTTGCCGAACCGGGGATTGAACCTCAGGCCCTTGCTCTTGCCAGGCAAGCACTTATTCTACTGAACTATCTCCCCAGCCTCTTGTCCTGTTTTTTTTTTTTTTTTTTGGCGGAACCAGGTATTGAACTCAGGCCGTTGCGCTTGCCAGGGAAGTGCTTGTTCCACTGAGCCATCTCCCTGGCCCCTCTTGTCCTCTTGATTTTGATAGCGCAGCCCCTTGTACTCGTGTTTGTCATTTTCTGAACAGATACTTGCTTCTCCAGCTCCTTCACACATTAAACTTGGGTGCACCTGGAGTAGAGCCAGATACCTGGGGTGATGCGCCAGTGAGTGAACCTCCTGACCCAGAGAGGGTCTGCTCACCTCACCTGATTGCCCCTTCTGGATTTGCAGGTGAGGATGGGGAGAGCGATTCATCCTCCAAATGTTCTCTGTATGGTGACTCAGATGGCGAGAATGGCAGCACATCAGACACCGAGAGCAGCGCATCAGCCTCCTCTGCTTCATCCTCCTCTTCATCCTCCTCCTCCTCATCAGAGTCCTCCGAGGAAGAGGACGAGGAAGAGGAGCAGCCCACAGCCATCCCCTCGACCTCACCACCCCCCAGGGAAGTCCCGGAGCCACTCCCAGCACCTGTGGAGGAGCCTGAGCCTGAGCCAGCAGTTGGCTCCCCTGCTGCGCCTCTGCCTGCTCAGAAGTCTCCAGCCAGGCCTGCAGGTAGGCAGTGCACAGCTGGTGCTAGGTCCGCATGCGTCCATTGGTGTCTAGAGAGTGGGGGATTTGAGTTAAGTGATTTTGTACAAATGCACGTGACTTTATTGGGTTTTTTTGTGGAACCGGGGATTGAACTCAGGCCCTTGCACTTGCCAGGCAAGCGCTTTATTCCACTGAGCCATGTCCCCGGCCCACTTTATTGGTTTTTATCTTTTTTCGGAACTGGGGATTGAACTCAGGCCCTTGCGCTTGACAGGCAAGTGCTTATTGTAGTGAGCCATCTGGCCATCTCCCTGATCCCTTGGTTTTTATCTTAAGAGCAGTAGAGAGCCCTCAGAGAAGTGACATGATCAGATTTGAGATTTGAAAACATAAAGAGGGCCAGGGAGATGGCTCAGTAGAATAAGCGCTTCCCTGGCAAGCGCAAAGGCCTGAGTTCAATCCCTGGTACCGCCAAAAAAACACAAAAACATATAAAAAGTCGCTTTGTCTTGTCCTTTCCCGTCTAGGGATTAAAGGGCCTAACACTCATACTGTTCTGCTATAGTGATTTACAGAGCCTAAGGTAAAACAGGCTGGTTGCTTCCCAAGTGAGTTTGGTAGGCACATTTCCAATTCAATAAATTCCTCTTTTTCTTTTTTTGCGGAATCGGGGATTGAACTCGGGGCCTTGTACTTGCCAGGCAAGCACTTATTCTACTGAGCCATCTCCCCGGTCCCCTCTTTATTTTTTTTAAGCCTGTTCCTTCAATGGGCTTAACTGTAGGTGATTAGATGGGCTGCTTTTTGTTTTTTGAAACAAGGTCTCACTACGTAGGCCAGGCTGGCATTGATCTAATGGCAGTCCTGCTCAGCCTCTGGAGTGCTGGGATTACAGGCATTAGTTAGAATTTAGTTGCATATTTGCTTTCTTTTGTGGATTTGTATATACCGTCTTACGTACTACATGAATATGTTTTTTCCTGCTTTAGAAACTGTTTAAACAGTAAGTTTAAAAAAAGAAAAGCAGTAAGTTTTGACTACTTCGCACAACGAGTAACAGGCACGAGGGATGTGGTCGTATGTCCAGCAGACACTGTTCTCCCCTCTGCAGTTTATAGTTCATAGAGACAGGGCAGTTGGGTGATAAGCACAGGGAAATCTGTGCTCCCAAACTGATGAAGGAAAAGCGCAGGGCGCTCAGAACCTGCGTGCACCTGCAAGCCTGGTGACAGCTTTCTGCTGAAGCACAGCTGGCTGAAGTCCAGACAGAGCAGGTAGGAGGGAAAGATTATCAGGTACCGAGGCCCCAGGCAAGAGAACCAGCAGCTTGGAAGACCTGGAAGGAAGTGAGTTCAGAGCTAGAGGTAGTGCAGTGGCCAAAACTGGAGGGGTAGGTAAGGGCCAGGCATCATGCTTAGGCTATGTAAGAATTTAGTCTTTATCTGAAGAGCAATGGAAGGCCCTTGGAGGAGCAGCATGATTAGATTTGTGATCTGAAAAGATGCAGTGTGAAGAGAGCTTGAAAGAGGAGCCGGGGCGATGCAAAGACCGTGAAGAGGCTGTGCCATAGGAGTGCAATAAGTCACCTCCCAAGATACACTCCTGAGACAGGAGGCTGCCGTGGGACCCTCCACCTGGATGTCGCTGAGAGTTCTTGGCTCAAGTTGGGCAGGGACCACGGGGAGACCTCCAAATGCTGGGGTGTGCCGATGGAGTCCAGCTCCCGTGAGGTGGGGAGTGGAGCCTCTCCGAAGGAAACTGCAGATTCTCCCAGCCTCTTTTGAGCCCATCAGAAGGGGAAGGGCCTGTGCAGCCCTAGACGGCTTGGAGGGCATCAGTCTTAGTAGTTTTGCCTTCTCTGGGGTAGGAAGAAGGGCATGGACACACCTGCATTTGAAAAAGGCCATTCTGGCAGAAGAGATTTGGAAGAGGTGAGGAAGGAAGTAGAATGACAGAAGTGTTTAATGATGCTGGATATGGTGGCACATGCCTGTAATTTCTGTAGAAGGATCATTGAGAGTTTGAGGCAAGCCTGGGCTACACGGCAAGATCCTGTCTCAAAAAAAGAAAAGAAGGGGCTGGTGAGATGGCTCAGTGGTCTAAAACACCTACTTAGAGCAAGCTCAGCAAAGCACAGGGACCACGGTTCAATCCCCAGCACCACATGCCAGCCAGCCCCGCCCCCTGGTGGGCTGAGCTGGCGCCACACACACACACACACACACACACACACAAATTAAAAAAAAAAAGAAAAGTATTTGAGGGAGTGCAAGTAAAATAAGGGCAGGAGAGCCATTGGGTGGTTACGATGCAGGGCAGGAGAATGGCAGTGCAGGGGAAGACTGGAGAGGAGATCTAAGGGATAGAATACTTGGGGAAGCTCCGTACCAGGAAAGGAAACTGCAGAAAGTGAACCAGGATTAAGAAGGAAGCTGATGGGCTGGTGAGATGGCTCAGTGGTCTAAAGCACCTACTTGGAACAAGCTTGGCAAAGCACAGCGACCACGGTTCAATCCCCCAGCACCACATGCCAGCCAGCCCCGCCCCCTGGTGGGCTGAGCTGGCCACACACACACACACACACACACACACAAAATAATAAATAAATGTTTAAAAAAAAAATCAAAAAAAAAGAAGGAAGCTGATGAAGTTAGTTGGGATTGAATCATAAGAAGCCTCTGGACCAGCGTTGGCCATTTGGTGATACACCAATCCTGGGAAGCACAAGGGTGTTGATGTGAACTCCTCTATGTGAGCACATGTGGGAGAAGGGCTCAGAGCCTGGAGGCGTTGTGTGCGATACCGGCAAAAGGGACCCAGGAAGGCAGGAAACACCATGATCAGGGAAGGAAGAGAGAGCAAGGAGGGAGGGTGGTTTTTTTTTAAATTTTTATTTATTTATTTTTTTTGTGTGTGTGTGGCCAGCTCAGCCCACCAGGGGGCGGGGCTGGCTGGCATGTGGTGCTGGGGGATTGAACCGCGGTCCCTGTGTTTTGCTTAGCTTAGCTTGTTCTAAGTAGGTGCTTTAGACCACTGAGCCATCTCACCAGCCCCCGGGAGGGTGTGTTTTGAATAGGAAGAGCAGCACAGATTTAAAAGGAGCCGTGGTCTGTATCCACAGGCCTAAAGAGGTGATAAGATGCAAGTGTCGGGTCTGACAGGACGTTGGTGACCCTATCAATTTCATTTGAGTGGTTCAATGTGAAGCCAAGTTTTGGGGTTCAGTGAGTAAGGGGAGATGACAAAGATATTTTAGAAAGGTGTGCTAGCCTTGCCGAGAAAACAGTTCAGAGGCCAGAATGACACTTGGCAAGTACTTCTTGTGTGCCAGGCTCTAGGCATAGCACTTTGGAAACTCATCGTCGGTCTCTATGACGTTTTGCTCTTGCTCCTTCACTGAGTTGAGAAACTGGAGGCTTAGTGAGAGCCATGCAGGGGTGTGCTCAGGCTGCGGGCTGGGTGGAGAGGCAGCAGGAAGAGGACACAGGCTCTGTGGAGGGTTTAACTTTTCAGAGTAGGTGAAATGTGAGCATGAAGGGAAGAGGTGACAGGTAGATGGACAGATGGACAAGAAGAAGGAGAGCTAGCATTTCTGGGGAGATCAGAGGAGGGCCTCTGGATGGGAGGCGAGTGTATGTGTGAGTGGGGCGGCAGGCTGCTGTGTGCACCCTTGGATGCTATGTTTTTCCTGTCTTCCAGTCTGCTTCTCCATTCCAACACAGAGGATCATTCCAAACCTCAACAGACCTACCACCATCCTAGATCCTTATGCACAGGGAGGATTTTAATGGGACAGGTTGGGCCAGGTCGCCATCTTAGTGGTTTGTTCCTGGTGGCCCTGGTCATGCAGTAGTAACTGGCTTCTAGCCCCATAGACCTGGGGCCATGGGAGAGAGGTTCTTAGGGAAAGGTGGGAGGTAGCTGGCTGGCACCACTCCAGTATGGTAAATGAAAGGGCAGGCAAGCTTCTGACAGGTGGAGGAACACAGGGAAATGTGTGTGAAAAAGCCTTGCTAGGAGAATTTGCTCTCCTTGATAGTCAGGCTTCTGGAAGACATAGGCAGTCAGTCCAGAAGAATGTTCCTGCCCAGCCTGGTAGACAGAAGAGGGGAGAGGACTCAGAACCTGGAGGGCCTGGTGTGGCCAGCTTCTAGGTGTGGACTGCCACTTGAGATCCCAGGTGATACCCAGAGCTAGCACAGTGCAGCCGAGGGCCTGCCCCTGGGTGTCAGATTGAGGAGCGTCAGTTAGGGCTTTGGTCAGGGTGATTGGGGCCTCTCGGCCTCACTCGGTGCTGTGCCCCTGTAGTTCTGAGTGGTAGAGCCGTAGAGTCCACAGAAACCCCGGGCAGTGACAGGTGGCAGATGAGAAGAGAGCCCAACCCAGCCTGTCTGGGTGCCGTGTATGGCTTTGTCACTTGCTACATGTATGCCCTTGGAGAGGTCATTAACCTCTCTGTGCTTAAGTTTTCTTATTTGTAAGATGAGGCTAATATACAAAAGGAAATCAAAATATAAGGTGAATGTTTAATTTTTTAGAAAATTTATTCTAGGGGGTGGGCCAGATAGCTCAGCAGACTAAAGCTCTTGCTTAGGCAGAGTGCAGGGTCTGGTTCAATCCCTTGCACCATATGCCGTGCTGGCGTGCGCCTGTAATCCCAGCACTTGGGAGGCTGAAAATAGGAGGATCACTACGAGTCCAGTCTTTATTCTTCAGAGTATTCCCTCTCACTTTGAACACACCACCTCATTCTTGTCACTTTCTGAAGGAGATGTGCAAACACTCTCCTTGCTGTCTTTGTGCCGTGTGGTCAAAAGTACAGTGTGAGGGGCCAGAGAGACAGCTCAGTAGAATAAGCGCTTGCCTGGCAAGTGCAAGGCCCTTGTTCAATCCCCAGTTCCACCAAAAAAAAAAAAAAAAAGTATAGTGTGAGTACTGCCTCCTGATGTCATCTGACAGAAAGGCAGGGGTGTAAAAATGGGGTTGTCTTTACCCACCATAATCACCACATCTGGCACTGTGTATCTTCTAGAACTTCTCCAAGTCAAAATGACCATGAAATAAACATTTTGAGTTGATTTTAGGACATTGAGACAGACTGTCAGGAAAGAGAATTTCTAGAACTACATGGGACAAGTGTATGGAAAGCAAGGGGGAAGGTTAATCTTATTTATTTATTTGATATAGGGTCTCTGTGCACAGTGATCCTCCTGTCTCAGCCTCCCCAGCATCAGTTTTGGGGCTGGCACCCAGTTTCTGGGGCTGGCACGGCATGTGGTACTAAGGATCGCACCTGGGTCTTTGCACTTGCCAGGCAAGCACTTAGACTGCTGAACTATCTCCTCAGCACAAGGGGGAGGATTTTTTTTTTTTTTTTTTTTTCTTTTTCAGACAGGGTCTCGTTATGCAGTTCAGTCTGTCCTTGGGCTCACTTTGTAGCCTAGGCTGATCCTCCTGCTTCAGCCTCCCAAGTGCTGGGATTGCAGGCCCCAAGGGGGAGGACTTTTAGTGGCCCTCATGGCAGCGTGTCTTTTATGCTAATGGATTTTTATTTATTTATTTATTATTATTTTTTTTTATTTGTGTGTGGCCAGCTCAGCCCACCAGGGGGCGGGGCTGGCTGGCATGTGGTGCTGGGGGATTGAACCGCGGTCCCTGTGCTTTACTAAGCTTGTTCTAAGTAGGTGCTTTAGACCACTGAGCCATCTCACCAGCCCCATATGCTAATGGATTTTGATTCATCATTCAGTGTATTTTTCAGTCCCAATCAGGGCACTAGGGACAGTGAGCACGCGTGTGGATGTGAGGCGCCCTGTGCTTGCTGTTATCTGCCGCAGCCAGGTGCAGCTGCCAGCCATCTGGCTCTGTGTGGAGGGCGTGCGCAGTGTCTGAAGAAGTGGGATGAGTCTTTACCACGGCTGCGCCGGGAGCTGGCCCTGAGAGCTGCATGTGTGGACGCAGAATGGAGGGAACCAGCTCTGTGACATGGGGTTAAGCAAGGGAGAGGCAGCAGTGCCTGGCAAAGGCCCCTTCCCACCTTGTTCCCACCTTTTGGCTCTCAGCTTCAACCCTGGTTTCTTCCCCAACTAGTTTCTGCTTACTCCTTTCACTACAGTGCATCCTGGTTGTCTGTGGTGGGTGGGGGAAGGAGGGGGAGGATGTTTTACCAATTTTCTTTTTGGTATGTGGGACTCTGGGCCTTTGCACTGAGCTGTTTCTAGCCTTTTTATGTTTTTTGAGAGAGGTTCTCACTGTTAGCGAGGTTGGGTTCAAACCTATGATCCTTGTTGCAAGTTTGAGGCCAGCCTGAACTGCATAGTGAGACCCTGTCTCATAAAGACCAAAAAAAAAAAAGCCCAAAACCCATGGTCTTCCTATTTTGGCCTGTCAAAGTTCAGGAGTTGTAGGAGTGCACCACCATGACTCATTTATAAAGTAGCTCAAGATTCAGTTTCTTACATTGTCTCCTTTTTTTTTTTGTGGAACCGGGAATTGAACTCAGGCCCTTGCACTTGCCAGGCAAGCATGTATTCTACTGCGTTGTCTCGCTGGCTCTTCTAGTTAAGCGCTTATCCTACTGAGCCATCTCCCCCGGCCCCTCCCTGGCTCTTCTGACATTGTCTTTTGTTCGTCTTGGTAAACCAGAGCGTATCATTTATGGTTAAATGAGTGGGTGTTTAGTTTGGTCTGGCCAATTGGAAACTCAGAATGTGGGTGACAGAGATAATCTTGGTTTGTGTGCCTTCTATTGGCTGTGGTTCTCTCTCTGCTGGGAGTAATAAAGGTTGGATAGGCCTGCTGGCAAGCTCAAGGTCCTGAGTTTGATCCCAAGTACCACCAAAAAAAAAAAAAAAAAACCAGCGGGGACTGCGATCCAAGGGTCGCGCCTTCCTGGTGTGTCTGCGTTTGGTTTGTGTTATCGTACCTCCCATTGGCTGTAGAGTTCTGTGAGGACACCAAGTCAGTCTCTGCTCAGAGAGTTTGTGCTGTTCGCAGCCAGGCAGGGCTCGGTGCCCGCTGGGTGACTTAGTGGGTGAGCAGGCACAGAAACCCCCACTGCTGGGGAGCCCACTGTGCTGCAGCAGGCTGTGGGTGGGGGCCGGGCCTGGGGGCAGCTGGGCAGCGTGTCTAGGTTGGCCTGAGTTTGCCAGGCAGACCGAGCACAACCTTTTAAGAGGCAGCTACAGCTCTGCAGAGCCCCAAGTCTTCTGCCTCTCAGGATTCTGGCTAGACCTGGAAGTGAACCTGTCTGCTTTCCTCATTTGCTTCCTTCCCAGATTCCACTGAGGAGCCGCCTCCCAGCATACCCCAGCCACCCGCAGAGCCACCAGCTGGGCCCCCTGCCCCACCCCCCCGCCTGGATGAACGCCCCTCATCTCCCATCCCTCTTTTGCCTCCACCCAAGAAACGTCGGAAAACTGTCTCCTTCTCTGCTCTAGAGGAGGTGCCGACTCCAGAGCCGCTGCCAGCTGCTCTTCCACAGGCCAAGCCGTCTGGCCCAGTGTCGCGAAAAGTCCCCCGGGGTGCCGAGCGGACCATTCGCAACCTGCCCCTGGACCACGCATCACTGGTCAAGAGCTGGCCAGAGGAAGTGTCCCGGGGTGGCCGGAGCCGGGCTGGAGGCCGAGGCCGCTCCACAGAGGAAGAAGAGGTTGAGCCAGCCACGGAAGTGGACCTGGCGACACTCGCTGACCTGGCCTTGACCCCAGCCCGGCGTGGGCTGGCTGCCTTGCCACCTGGGGACGACTCGGAGGCCACAGAGACCTCAGATGAAGCTGACCGCCTGTGCCCCCCACTCAGTCACATCCTCCTGGAGCACAACTACGCCCTGGCTGTCAAACCCGCGCCTTCCACACCGGCTCTGAGGCCCCTGGAGCCGGTCCCGGCCCCTGCGGCCCTCTTCAGCTCCCCAGCCGATGAGGTCCTGGAGGCCCCCGAGGTGGTAGTGGCAGAAGCAGAAGAGTCAAAGCCACAGCAGCAGCTGCAGGTGCAGCCAGAGGAGGGGAAGGAAGAGGAGGGGGAAGAAGAGGAATCCGAGTCTTCAGAGAGCAGCAGCAGCAGCAGCAGCAGCAGCGATGGGGCTGGGGCTGGCCGGAGGCGCAGTCTCCGCTCCCATGCCCGGCGCCGGCGGCCGCTGCTCCCCCCACCCCCACCGCCGCCGCCCTCCTTTGAGCCGAGAAGTGAGTTTGAACAGATGACCATCCTCTATGACATTTGGAACTCAGGCTTAGACTTGGAAGACATGAGCTACCTGCGACTCACATATGAGCGGCTGCTGCAGCAGACCAGTGGGGCCGACTGGCTTAATGATACTCACTGGGTCCACCATACAAATATCCTGACTGCTGGGCTTTGATGTGTTGTACAAGACCGGAAAACAAGGGGCTGGCCATGTCCTCTGCTGCATCAGTCCCCCTTCCCTGTCTCCAACTTGCTGCGCCCTGTTGTGCTTGCGCGTTTCTGCCCTGGCCAGCTGACCGTCTTTTCTCTGCCTCAGTGCCCCTTTTCTGCCTTACCTCTAATTTTTTCTGATGGAACAGGGAGAGTCTGAGCCTGGCTTCTTTCACCTCCCATTCCCTCCTTTGCCCACCAGCTCAGAGTAGCTGCCCTTTCCTTTCCTCGGGCTAAGGGTTGGGATGGACAGAGAAGAGTGGGCCCCAGGGGTTGGGGTGGTAAGGACCTGTTCTCTTCCTTAACGCCCTGCACTCACCAACCTGAGCACTCCCAAGCGCAAGCGGCGGCCCCAGGACGGACCCCGAGAGCACCAGACAGGTTCTGCACGCAGTGAAGGCTATTACCCCATAAGCAAGAAGGAGAAGGACAAGTACCTGGATGTGTGCCCTGTCTCAGCCCGGCAGCTGGAAGGAGTGGACACTCAGGTGGGGCCCTTCCCTGAGCCCTTGCCCGCTGTCGCCTCTTCCCAACCACCTGTTGGTCACCTCCTTCCTGTCCTCGTAGGGGACTAATCGTGTGCTTTCTGAGCGCCGGTCTGAGCAGCGGCGGCTGCTGAGTGCCATTGGCACCTCAGCTATCCTGGATAGTGATCTGCTAAAGCTGAATCAGCTCAAGGTGAGAAGTGGGGACCTGGGGAGGGGCAGAGGCTCAGAGAACAGGTGAGGCAGGGAGGGCTGCCACTCCTAGAGTCCTTGGCTCCCCAGGGTTTGAAGGTGGGGAGGTGGTCAGGATGTCACTGTGGGAGATCTGCAGGAAAAGCAAGGAGCTGGGTCGAGAGAGGCATCCAGCAGTACTGTGTGCTTCTGCCCGCCAGTTCCGGAAGAAGAAGCTCCGATTTGGCCGGAGCCGGATCCACGAATGGGGTCTCTTTGCCATGGAACCCATTGCAGCTGATGAGATGGTCATCGAATATGTGGGTCAGAACATCCGCCAGGTGAGGTGTAGCCCCCGCCCAGGACCAGCTCTTGGTTAGGCATCAGGCAACACAGGATTGCGCAAGTACCATTTCACTTGGGACACAGCCTTGCTTCCCTCCCAGCTCCAAGCCTGCCAGTGACACCTGTGTCCTTGCACCACCGTTGGTGGGTGGTGGGTTGGTTGGATTTTTTTTTTTTTTCTTGTATGCCTTCAGGGCACTTTTGCATGGCTGGAGTGTTGTGGGGATCGAACTACAGCAAACTGAGGCTGCCAGCATTGTGGAAGCAGCCACTTAAAGAACTGAGCTAGGGTTGGGCCCCCATGGATTTTTTTTAATTAATTAATGTGTGTGTGTGTGTGTGTGTGTGTGTGTGTGGCCAGCTCAGCCCACCAGGGGGCGGGGCTGGCTGGCATGTGGTGCTGGGGGATTGAACCGCAGTCCCTGTGCTTTAGCTAAGCTTGTTCTAAGTAGGTGCTTTTAGACCACTGAGCCATCTCACCAGCCCCTGGTTGGATTGTTTTAGAGACACGGTCTCACAGTGTAGCTCAGGCTGTCCTCAGACTGCCAGTGATATTCCTGCCTCAGCCTCCCAGGTGCTGGCATTGCAGGTGTGCACTGGCACATCCAGCCCCACCATCGTTAATAATACATACGAGTAAGCATGTTAGTGGGCCAGCAGTGGTACTCTCCTTTAAGAATGTGGGGAGTATCAGACAAGTAGCAACAGTAAAGGATAATGTTTGGTAGTGAAGAGGAAGCTGGGGAGATGCGGGTGGTGGCAGCTCATACTAGAGAAACGGTGATGTATAAGCTGAGTGCTGAAAGATGGGAGGAATTCCAGGGCTAAGTGGGGGAGCCTGTTTCTCGTAAGGGGCCTGGAGATAGAGCAGGCAGGGAAGGATGGGGTCCGTGTGGCTAGGTTGAAAAATGGGCCAGTGGCAGAGGTGTGTATCTGGAGGGCCAGCTGGAGCCCAGGACCAGAGCACCGAGGAGCCACATCCACTGTGGGCCTGCGGTGAGAGACGGCGCCCTGGGAAGCTAGGCTGGAGGCCCCTAGAGGTTGTGAGCTCCTCCTGGCCGCACTGGAGAGCACGGCGGGGCTGAGGCTGGGCTGTTGCAGAGATCCAGGCCAAGGTGAGGGTGGCCTGGACAAGGCAGTGGCAAAACACTGGCGGAGAGGAGTGTGGTCTGGGCCCAAGGCTTTGGTAGACCCAAGCAGTGGCATAGCTGTGGGGTGCTGGAACATGGGAGCAGGTGAGCCCCTTCTTGGGTGCTGCTGCGGGCTTCCTGGAGTGTGAGGAGGCTTCCTGGAGAAGGGAGCCGCGGAGGGTGCAGTGTGCGATTGGGATGAGCTGGGTCAGCATGAGCTTGGCCCAGGGAGAGAGCTCAGTAGAGTAAGTGCTTGCCTGGCAAGCGCGGGGTTCCGAGTTCAGTCTCCGGTACCCCCCCAAAAAAACATGAGGTTGCAGGGCCCTGGGGGAGCTCCAGGGGTTCATGACCAGCAGCTCAACCTAGATGGAGTTGGGCTGGAGATGAGGCTTTGGGTGAGAGGACTCCCCACTTCTTAGCTGGTGGCTACCGCTCTGGGTGTGAGATCATTTGGGGAGAATGCAGAGAGCTTGTCTGTTACCAGAAAGTAAGAGTTGGCTCTTCTCACACAAGGGCCCACATTACGACCCAGATGATCTGCCGTCTACATTGGGCAGCTGCACCAGTGAGAGTGCAGAAGACATACTGGGGCTCACTTGGCGACCTGTCACTTGAGGAACTGCCCAGCCCCATGGCCAGTCTAGAGCCCCACAGTGACCAGGAAGGTGGCCTCAGAGGAGCCAGTGCAGGCTTCCCTGGAGCCCCCGTGTGGGTGGCTGGATCAGAAGGGCAGCCAGAGCCAGATGTGTGGTGCAGACCTGTGATGCCAGCACTCTGGGAGGCTGGATTCCCTTAGTCCTAGAAGAATCACAAGTTGGAGCCCAGCCTGAGCAAATAAGACTTAGCAACACCCTGTCCCAAAATGAAAAATAACATCTGGGAGTGTAGCTCAGTGTGAAGGCCCTGGGTGCAGTGCACTGTATTGGGAAAATAGGGTGGGTGCATCCAGAGGGTTAGGATAGGTGGTGTGAAGGGGACGAGGGCTCTGGGGCCAGGGCCAAAAGCTGGGACCCCAGGGTGGGGGCTGGTCGACTGCATCCAGAGCAGCTGGTGGGACCAGGCTGGGTCCGCATGGGCGCTGAGGAGCAGCCCATGACTTTCACGTCCCACTTTACCAGATGGTGGCCGACATGCGCGAGAAGCGCTACGTGCAGGAGGGCATTGGCAGCAGCTACCTGTTTCGGGTGGACCATGACACCATCATCGATGCTACCAAGTGCGGCAACCTGGCGAGGTTCATCAACCACTGCTGCACGGTGCGCTGGGAGCCCCTGGCTGGGGGGTGGGCGGAGGGGCCCCCCGCTCACAGGCCTCCCTTCCTGCAGCCCAACTGCTATGCCAAGGTGATCACCATTGAGTCGCAGAAGAAGATCGTGATTTACTCCAAGCAGCCCATCGGGGTGGACGAGGAGATCACCTATGACTACAAATTCCCCCTGGAAGACAATAAGATCCCGTGTCTGTGTGGCACCGAGAGCTGCCGTGGCTCCCTCAACTGAGGTGGGCAGGACTGGTGCCCACAGCCCTATTTATTCCCCCTTGGTGCCCTGAGCTCCCAGCACCCCCAGCCTTAGTGGGTTCAGCCGGGCCCTCATGCCCCCATCTGAAGGGCAGTTTGTTCCCCTGAGCCCAGCGAGGGAGCCTCAGACCCTCTTCTGCCTCCCTGTTGCCCCTGCCCACCCTCCTCACCCCTAATTTTTTTTCTTTGCGGAGAAGAAGCTGTAAATGTTTTGTAGCTGCCAGCAGCTGTTTCCTGTGGAAACCTGGGGTGCCGGCCTGTACAGATCCTGTTCTTGGGGGCTGAACAGCCCTCTCGCTTTGTGTTATGGGGATTTCCCCTTGTGCCCTGCGTGCACCCCTCCCCGGTTTAGGGGTTTCTAGGGGCAGTGGCCATGTTCTTCCCTGGAGGGGCCCTGTGCCCCCATCCTGGGGACTCCGTGCCTGGAACCCTGCCTCATCTTCTGTTCCTGCCAGACCCTGTGGGTCACCCTCCCACCCTGGTGTCTGGAGGCGCGTGCTCAGCCAGCCAGGATGGTGGGGGGTGGGCCCTTGTTGGGCTGGATTGTACATATGTTAATAGCAGACTCAACACCACATTTTTATAATTGTGATTAAACTTTATTGTACAAAAGTGCTTGGTCAGTATCTTTGGGGAAGAGCAGGCTGGGGTGGGGGTTTGAGGACACAGGGTGGGGCAGGACGGGGTGTGTGGCCTGGAGCTTGGAGTGGGTGGAGAGGCTTTCAGGCAGGAGCCTGGATCCACAGACCGGGTTCCCGCTGCCAGGAGCACCTGCCAGGCTGTACCGAGGCCCCTGTGCCAAAGCCAGACTGGGCAAGGCCACCAGGCCTCCCTTCTCTTCCTGCCCCAGAACCACAGCTGTTGCTGGGTGTTTCGCCTCCTGGGAAATCTAGCGGGAGGCGAGGACTGAAGTCATATTGTGGGAGTGAGGTCACACTGCTGCCTCCGTCCTGTGGCCCCCAAGTCCCTCAGTACCCACCCACTGGGTTTTGGCTTTTCCAAGGGCTGTAACCAGCTGCCAGTGGAGCGCCAAATGGCCACCAGGGGGCGCCCGGTGGCAGCTGTACGGATAAAGGGGGTGGAGGCTGGGCAGGTCTCGTTCCTGGAATGGGCCAGGAGGGAGGAGAACCAAGCGGAAGGAAGCGGTGTGTGCGACTGGTCAGCCAGTCCAGGAGAGCCATCTCTCCAGTGGCCGGTTTGGGCGTCCTGAGACGGTAGCTGCAGGTAGGAGAGGTGACCCCAGGCCCAGGCAGCCCTGACCCCCTTTCTTCTTCCCCCAACTCTCCTGTTGCTCCCAAACCTCTACCTACCTCAAATGCTGACCCCTTCCTGCATCCAGCCTTTGGCCCTCAGGAACCCCCTGGTTGGCGTTCATAGGACAAGAGGGCAGCTAGTCGAGGGGCTGCAACTATCAGAGGCAACTCTGACCTCTGGCCACGGCACTAGTTTCCTGTCCACTAACTCACCAGGCCTTTCCTTGAATTAACAAGTGGCTGGTACAGGTGGCCCCAGGCAACCCAGGTGAGCCAAAGTCTCTTCCTGCAGCCAGCCAGGCATGGCCGAATCTGCAGAGGCCCCAAAGCTGGTCTACTTGGTCACGGGCGGCTGTGGCTTCCTAGGCGAGCACGTGGTGCGAATGTTACTGGAGCAGGAGCCACGACTCCGTGAGCTGCGTGTCTTTGACCTGCATCTGAGTTCCTGGCTGGAAGAACTGAAGACAGGTGACTAACTGACGGGGAGGTTGTGGGCAGGAGAGTGTGGCTGCTCCATCCCCTCCTAAGCTGGGATGCAGCCCCTCCTTGGTGGAAAAGATGAAGCCTGTTTATGCTGGAGGCCACCCTGGATGGGATGAGTGAGTCATGCCGGGAACATGTGGCCTTGGGTGCTGAGGGTGGGGGCTGAACCTCTGGCTCCTGCTCCCAGCTGACACTGCCTCTGGCCTCCTCTCCCGGCGCCAGGGCCTGTTCAGGTGACTCCCATCCAGGGAGATGTGACCCAGGCTCACCAGGTGGCAGCGGCTGTGTCCGGAGCCCACGTGGTCATCCACACAGCAGGGCTAGTGGATGTGTTTGGGAGGGCCAGCCCCGAGACCATCTACAAGGTCAACGTGCAGGGTGAGGCCCCACCTAGCCATGCCCGGCTCCCCAACCTTCTCTTGGCGTTTGTTCCCCTGCCCTCTGCCTTTAATGTCCTGCATGATTATTCACTCGCCCCGTGTCCACCTCACCCAGACTCTTGGGTTCTCCCTGGGCCTGGGATGGGAACAGGATGATGCAGAGAGGGGAACTTCAGCTTGGATGCCACCCTCTCCCCAGGCACTCAGAATGTGATCGAGGCTTGTGTGCAGACTGGGACTCGGTTCCTGGTCTACACGAGCAGCATGGAGGTTGTGGGACCCAACGTCAAAGGCCAGCCCTTCTACAGGTGAGCTGAGGGTCCTGGTACTCTAGCAGCCCACTTTCCCCAGCACTGAGTCTTCTTCCCCTTGTTAGAGGCAATGAGGACACCCCGTATGAAGCCCTGCACAAACACCCCTATCCTCAGAGCAAAGCCCAAGCCGAGCGGCTAGTCTTGCAGGCCAATGGGAGGAAGGTAAGCTGGCAAAGCCCCTGGACAGGGCTGCCCAGGACAGGGCGGGGCCTTTCATCTGCAGCTAAAGGTTCTGTGGCAAAAAGGTGGCTGCTGGCTCCTAGGTCCTAGCTATGCCTGCATTTTGCCAACAGGTCCAGGGGGGGCTGCCCCTGGTGACATGTGCGCTGCGTCCCACGGGTATCTATGGTGAAGGCCATCAGATCATGAGGGATTTCTACCTCCAAGGCCTACGCCTGGGGAGCCGGCTCTTCAGGGCTATCCCAGCTTCTGTGGAGCATGGCCGGGTCTATGTAGGTAAGGACCGGCTGGGTAGGGGAGGCCACCAACAGGGCAGTAGGGCCACGTGGCTCAGGGAAGGCCCTGTGTGCTCAGGCCCAGGTAAAAACTGACTGTGAGAACTGTGTGCATGGGCCACAGAGGAAATAGCATCTGTGGCCAGTTGGGGAGACAGACATGAAAACAGGGTCACAGGCTGGAAGGTACAGCTGCGCAGGCAGTGGCTCCTTGGGCAGGGAGCAAGCAGACTCCACCAGGCGCTAGTGGGCAGCACCTGCGTGGCCCAGACTGGGTGGCTTTGTGTGGGTGGCAAGGCCTGCAGGAGCTTCCCTACCCATCGGCAGGCAATGTGGCGTGGATGCACGTGCTGGTGGCCCGGGAACTGGAGCCACGGGCAGAGCTCATGGGTGGCCAAGTGTACTTCTGCTATGACAAGTCACCCTATAAGAGCTACGAGGATTTCAACATGGAGTTCCTGGGCCCCTGTGGCCTGCGGCTGGTGGGCACCCGCCCGTTGTTACCCTACTGGCTCCTGATGCTCCTGGCCACCCTGAATGCCCTGCTGCAGTGGCTGTTGCGTCCGCTGCTGCTCTACGCACCTCTGCTCAATCCCTACACGCTGGCCATAGCCAACACCACCTTCACGGTCAGCACCAACAAGGCACAGCGCCATTTTGGCTACGAGCCCCTGTTCTCATGGGAGGACAGCCGGACCCGTACCATCCTCTGGGTGCAGGGCTCAACCCAGTGACAGCTGTCTGGTACCCAAGCCAGCTTCCAAGCCTGAGGCAATGGGGCTGTGTCGGAGCTCGAGGCTCTGGGCGGCACAGGGGTCCTACGGCCTCACACTTCAGCTCCGTAGGCCTCGAGTGTGAATTGCACCCTGACCTTCCAGGTTCCTTTTGGAGCAGAGTGTGGGCTGGGGGCACCTCCACTCTCAGCCCCGGCCCACTGGCCACACCCTCCTCCTCCTCCCCATTACCCTACCCTATCCTATCCAGGCTTCTGCAGCAGCAGGTACCCTCGGGTTGTGCCCTGTGCCATCTTCAGGCCTAGGTTCAGAGTGAAGAGACATCTCTGGTTCCCTACCCACCATCCTCTCTCCTTAGAGGGCTACTTTCTCACTATTTAAAAACAAATAAAGTATCACCTTCCGACGCTTATCTTTTAATTCCCCTCCATGAAAGCAGAGGAAATCAGTGACCCTCCACCCTAATGCAGTGCCTGCCATGGTGTTGGCCTCTACCTGGCCAACCTCTGGATTCAAGTCCTTGCCCAAGCCTGTATCCAGCTGTCTGTCCAGCTCCTCCACCACTCCCCCAGACCTCGCCTCCCCACGACGCCGTCCCAGGTGGGGACGGAAGGAAGTGAGCACACAATACACCCGCTGTTGGATTGGTTGCTATTTCTCCCGTCCCACGGACTCGACCCGGCCCGGGGTGGGGTTGGGGGGCTCTGGGGACAGGACATGCAGGGCTGGGGTGGGGGGCAAAATTTCCTGTTTTATCCATTTGCAACTTGGTCACCAATAAAGAGAAATGAGACTCGGAGGGCTAACAGGAGAGGGCGGCCTGGCTCTGGGCCCCCAGCCAGGCCCCAGGAGTCCTGTCCCCCCGGGAAGAGGAGAGAGAGAGCTCTAGAAACCAATGGAGAAATGGGGCAGGGGCTCATGTCAGCAAACACGGCTACATCACGTGACACGCCAGCGACACAGAAACACACGCCAACGCACACGGCTGCACAGCGGGGAGGGGAGAAGGGAGCCGGGGCCACCCATCTTGTCCTCTGCGGGGCAGGCTGGGGCCGGGCGAATGCATAGAACGTGTCATGTGTGCACGCTCAAGGCGTGGCGAGAACGTGCGTCGACCCACGGACACATGGGATGGTCACGCAGTGTGCTTTGTGAGAGGAGGGGACAGGGAGGGAAAACAGTGAGCCCTGGCCAGGCCCGGGACCACCCACAGGGCACACCTGACCTTGGTGGCTGTAGATGCGCCGAGGGAGGGCAGCACACCCTGGTCTGAGGACATGCAAGGCACTGGCCCCAGACCTCGCTTGGGCCACACACACATGCAAAAGCAGCCACCAAGCAAACCCGCCACATGACGCGCACAACTTGCAGAAAGCTGGGGTACACCAGACCCTCAGTCCTCCTCAGGCCAAGATGGGCAGCCAAGGGCCTAATGCCACTTGAGGAGGCAGAAGCAGCACTCCAGGCACAGTGCTACCCTGAGGCTGGGGACTTTGGGAAACACCTGGGCCGAAGGGGGCCTTGGAGGGACTACAGGAAGGAAGCAGCAGCCCAAGATGGGAGCAGCAAGCCGCACCCAGACCACGGCTGGCCTTCCTGTCCTGTAGGAACATCTGGAGAAGGGCAGGCACACCCCTCTCCCTGGAGCAGCTGGCCTGGGCTTACACGGGGTCACACTGACATAAACGGGCCCAGGAAGCCGAGAATCAAATTTCAGGTCGCATCTGCAGCTGTGGGAAGCTGTGCACACTCTGGAGCCTGTCACCCGGTACACACACAGGGCCACTCCCGTGAGTACACAGGTGCTCAACGGACATGCCCCTGGGTCACAGAGTGGCGAGGGGCCTTCAGGCTCCGGCTGTTCTCCCTGCACATCCATCCTATCACCAAACCACCAACCCACAAACTGTGTGCTGTCTCCACCTCGACCTGGGTCACAAGTCCTTCCCTTGTCACAAGTCACAGGCTTGCATCCTGGGGTGTCCCAGTAGGAGACAAGTCCAGAGGATTAAACACCCCGAGTGACCACTGCTGCAACTGTCCACTCTAGTGGAGGAGCCTTCCTCCAGGTCACAGCAGAAGTCCTGTCCTGGAGGCAGTAAGGGACAACATCCTGACTTTCCACTTGTCTGGGGCAGCCCGACATTTGCTCCTCATTCAGGGCCCTACAAACAGATCTCCCAGGTGGAATTCGCGCGCAGGTGGGTGCAGGTCTGTGGGAGCACCGCTAGCGACAGCATGTGTGAGTGTCCTTCACACTCACATCACACGAGGGTGATGGAGCCACCTTCACCCTTGGCCTCGGCCTGCCTGAGGTACTCAGGTTGACACAAGCTCAGACCTGTCCTTGGACAGACAAGAAAAGATAAAGATGAAAGCATGTGCGCACGAGGGACTGCTTGGCAGGGCAGGAAGCTCCAGTTGCACAATGTCCACATAGCAGTGTGTGTGGCCACGCCAGACAAAGAGCAGGGCCACTAGAAAGGGGGGCGGGGTCAAGTAAATCTGGCTAAACAACACTGGAATGATGGGGCACGTGACCTTAAAGATAAATGTGTGTGTGATATGCAGGGGGCAAAAACACTATGTAGAAAGCCCCTAAACACCTGCACGCGCGCATACACACACACACACACACACACACACACACACACACACACACGGAGTCACAGCTGTACCCTAGGTAGCACAGAACTAGATCTGTCTCTGCCCTCACCAGGTGTTGGGTCCCCAACATGGAGGGCTCCTATCAACGCTTCCAGTGTGTGAGCTTGCACACATATACATACATACACACACACACCTCTCACCACATCTACTTGGAAAAGCACAAGTCTACAGGTCAAGCTAAGTCTTTACACGTGTATGCTCCCGCTCACTTCTACAGGCCCCTAACACGCACCTACACACACAAGGATGCACAGCAGCCCCTGCGCTGGTCAGAACGCTTGTTCTACCTCCTGTGGGCTGTGTGCCGTGGCCTGCGTGTCTCCGGGCCTCCCCAGGGCCTCTGAGCAAGTGAACATCAGCACACACTGATGATGCATTCACAGCAGACAGGGAGAAGGCGCTGGTGGAGCGATAGATGTTACATGCGTTTGAAACACTCAAACACAAAATTCCACACACACAGGTTGTGCGTCCACAGATCTTGGCCACACACACACACACACACACACACACACACACTATTCACAGAAAACAAGGGGGTGTGGTGGGCTGCTGTCACACTCAGTCAGTCACCACGATCCCAGTGATGAGGAAGCTCAGACCGCAGACTCCAGGCTGGGGCAGAGAGGGTGACGCAGTGTGTCCACACACATCTACACGCATACACACACGCTGGGGCATCCACACGTCTCGAGCATGTGCCAGCGGCATGCATGTTGGTGTGCATGTGTAATCGCGCCTGCTGCTACCTACGTGCGGGGCCGGGGAGGGTGGTCCATGGCAGGGTGAGGTCCAGGGACTCCAGGGTCTGCCGTGGGGGTGGGTGGGGGAGGGGGCTGCTCGGGTCCGTTCTGGGGGTGAGCTTGGAGCAGGGGATGGACTGACAGGGGCGGTGGGGGTATTGCTCCCAGTGTGGTGGGGGAGGGGCCCGGAAGGGTAAGGGCAGGGGCCTACAAGCCCAGTGTCCCTCCAATGGATGAGGCCAAGACCACCCCCAGCACCACACAGCAAATGATGATCATGATTTTCTTCTGCAGGTAGGAAAGAGAGCGAGACAGAGCAAAGAGAATGAGAGAGAGAGAGAGAGAGACAGACAGACAGACAAACAGCCAGAATGAAGAAGGGAAACAAACCGACAGACAGATGAGGGAGGGGCAAGGGGGTGAGGAAAAAGGAGGGAGAGAAAACAGAATTAGGAAGAGGTCAGAGCCACAGATAAGTCCTCTCACCCGATTTCATCATCACCTCGGCCCGGCCCGGGCTGAGCCAGCCCCAGCCCCCAGCCGCCCTCAGCCCGGCCCTGGCTCACCCTCCGCGCCTTGCTCTGATATTTCACAGCTTTCTTGGTGTCGGACACAGCTCGCTCCACATAGTCCACGGAATGTTCCACGTTGTACTCGATGCGGTCAATCATCTCACCCTATGGGCAGAGGAAGGATGCAAGGGAGGAACTGGGGGGCCGGAAGAGGGAACCTCAGGGCCCAAGGAGGTGCCCGGGCAGTGGGACAGGGCCCATACCTGGCTCTCCACAAGCATGGCCATGTCCACAAACATGTCGTGCAGCTCGCGGATGCTGGTTTCCAGTTTGATGATCTCATTGTGCCTCGTCTCGATCTCGTTAAGGGCCTGCTTTGTCATCTGTGAGTCCATTTTGATCTAGGGTGATGGGAGGGGGGTCACCTGTTGCCCCTGTATGAGCCTGGACTCAGCAGTCAGAATTTCTGGGTTCAAATCTAGGTATCATGTACTAGCTGAAACCACAGGTACGGTTTTTATTCTCTCTGGGCCTCAGTTTCCCCATTTGGAAAATGTGCACATGACAGCTTCTACTTCACAGGGTCACTGTGAGAAGGGAGTGAGTTTATTTTTTTATTTTTTAGAAGAACTGGGGATTGAACTCAGGCCCTTGCGCTTGCCAGGGAAGCGCTTATTCCACTGAGCCATCTCCCCAGCCCCGGGAGTGAGTTTATACGCGCACAGTAATAGCAGCTGGTACACAGTGAGAACTAAAGAGAAATATGTTAAATTACAAGAACTAGGGCCAGCCAGATAGCTCAGTGGACTAAAGCGCCTGCTTAGGCAGAGCACAGCGGCTGGGGTTAGGTCCCCGGCACGCGTACCGGCCCTGCCCCTCGAGCGCGCTGACATGGTGATTGAAACTAGGCGTGGTGGTGCACGCGTGTAATCCCAGCACTTGGGAGGCTGAAAACAGAAGAATCATCACGAGTTGGATCTGTGTAATGAGACCCTGTACTAAATAAAAAAAAAATAATAAAAATTACAAGAACTAAAACTTGGACCGGGGTATATAGCTCAGTGGCACAGTGCCTGCCTGGCTAGTTTAAGGCCCTCAGTTTGATTCCTGGTTCCCCAAACCATAAACAAAATAAATGAAAAAGAACTAAAACTTGTCTGGAGCTCCTTCACCTTGCTGTGGGGCTGCTTCCTGCACACTGCAGAGATACCAGGAGGAAAAATGACTGGAAGCAGCCAGGGTGACCCGCAGGGCAGAATCACTAGGCAGACGGGCGGCCCTGAGGAGACAGCGTGCCCACGGCTGTCCTGGCCCACATGAGATGAGGCGGGCATGCGCAGCCATGACCCGCGCAGCCCTGAGGGTGCGGCGTTAGCTCACGGCACCGGCTCCCACACTGAGCCTCGCCTCGTTTCCCAGTCAGTTGGGACCAAGAAAAGCCTTCGCTGTGAAGCCCACCCTGAGCGCCTATCTCTGCAGCCCACGCACCTTGACCCGGGAGTCATGGTCCCATCTCCCTCTCTGACCATATCTCCTACTCATCCTGAGAGCCAAAAATCACCCAGTGGCTATCCAGCAAGGGCGTCCCTCTCCCTGTGTCTGCTAAGTCTGTTCCAGAAGCTTCGATCTCTCAAGCTGCGACTCCAGTGTTTCTCACCCTCAGTAAACACCTCAGGGCTTCCCATCCCTGAGCCATGGCCTGACCACACTGCGGCGACAGTGGGCTCACGTCCACTGTAGTGGCCCCTAGGGACCACTCACCGGGTTTCCCTCTACGCCGGCACAGACGGACAAGGCAGCCTGGCCAGAACTGCTTGGGAAGATTCCAGGCTAACTGGCTCACAATCAGTTTGTCCAAAATTAATTTATTAAGACCAATTAGCCAAGTAACAATTCACTGGGCCAGGGACACAGCTCAGTGGCACAGCGCCTGTCCTGAGTTTGATTCCTGGTACCAAAAAACCACCACCACCAACAGTAAAAAAAAAAAAAAAAAAAAAAACAACTACAATTCACTGAGGCCATTAGACAATCATAATACACACTGTAAACCTGGGTGAAACCACCACCCAGAAACATTTGGCTACCAGTACCCTAAACAGGCAGGGCTGGGCAGTACAGGGCAAAAGTTCAAAGTAGAAGGAAGAACTAGATTTAGAGAAAAGCCCATCCATTCATATATAAACAAGTGAAATGTGCAAAAGTAAAACTTATTTTTTAAAAAAAATCGCCAAATGAGTCACATGGCACATGATATGCTCCCGGGAAGGGAAGAGCTAAAGTTCTCACTCTGACAGGACTGAGGCTGAGGCCCTGGGCAGGTTATTTCATCTGGGTGGGGTTTCCTCATCTGTGAAATAGGCTCCCTGTTAGCGCTTTGGAGACGTTAAATGAGAATTGATACAGGTCAGCAGGCCAGCGCTCAGAGGGCTTGCCATCTTGGGGGAGCTGCCTTCCTGCGCTTCCTCCACGGAATTCCCCAGGTGCCGGGCCACTGCTGGGAACCTGGAGCAGCCTGACCTTCTCCAGAGGGACAGGGCAGGTGCTTTCCACAACCAGACCCGGCCCACGGAGCTCACATCATCTGTGAAGATGGCCAGCTTGCCGCTTTCCAGCATGTCCTCCAGTTCTTCGTTGGTTGTGGTCCTGCCAGCTGTGGGGAGAAGGGACTCAGGGCCTGGGCCCACCAGATGGCTGGGGTGGTGGGGTGGGGCAGGGACCCGGGACTCCCTCCCCCAGCCTGAGGCCTGGCGCTCAGGGAGCAGAATGGCACAGGGCAGACCCAGGTATGGGGGGGCACGCACTGATCTCCAGCTGCCGCTGGATCCGGTCCTTGCAGCGGTCCCGGTACTTGGACTGGGTTGCATTATACTCGGTCATTACCTCCACGAACTTCCGAGAGAGTGTGGAGTGCTGCGGTAGGAGTGGCAGAGTGGGCGGGAGGGGGAAGAGGCTGTGTTAGTCTCAATCCAACTTCCCGCAGATTCCATCCCTTGCACCCCAAACAGGTCCCTGCAACCCACATGTGAACCCGCAGGCGACCAAGAAGCCACCAGGCACAACCCTCCACTGCCTCACCCGCCCTGCAGCTCCATCCGCAGCTACACCTCCTACCTGGGTCTTGCGGATGCGCAAGTCAGCAGAGGACCGGTTCAGTCCCTCCTCCTGCTCAATGCTTTGCTCGATCGCTGCGGGAGACAGGGCACAGTGACCTCGGGACAGACCGAAGGAGGCTCCACATCCCAGCGCAGGCTCTGGGCCTGGAAAGAGCTGCCATACCCTCGTGGAGGGGCAAGCCAGCAAAGAAACGAGCAGTCGTCTGCCAGGCAGTTGTCTGCCGGGGTCCTGAAGGCAAGCGCGTGTGAAGGGGCGACCGAGGGTCAGATGCTACCAGACAGAGGGGCCATCTGTTCTGGTGGGAGGATTGGGTCTTGGAAAGTGCCAGTAGCCACAGCTTCTGCCCAAGCCATGAGTGGACATAGACTCAGTCCAGTAATTCACAGGAGCGAAGCCTCCACTTCCAACAGCCCCCAGACAGGGGCAAAAACCCATCCGGGGACTTGGTTGTTGCTTCTCGGAACTCATGGGCTCAAGGGATCCATCATCCTGCCCCAGCCTCCCGAGTCACCGTGACCGCAGACAAGGGCCACCATGATAGGCCACCCTGTGATTCTTTGGGTAGAAAGTAGTCCTGCAGTGGGCCAGGCTCTGGGGACCACCCTTTCCCTAAAGGATTTCAGGGCAAACAGACAGATGCTCCAACAGGGAACACAGCCTCCCCCTGCTCTGCCTGGTGATTCCGGGCCCAGGAGTTCCCACTTCTGGGAAGTTCTGGAGAAATGAGCGGATTATCTGGGATTCCTGCTTCTGGATCATGTGCTCCTGACACTATCATTCAGGTTTTCTGAAAAAAGAGCTTGCGGTAGGACCTACTTCAGTAAGATCACAAAATGCGGCATGGATGAATCACCAGTCCTGCTCAGACCTCACAGGGCCTGCGGGCCATTCCTGAGAACATCACTTCTCTGTTCTGCCGGCGGCGGGGGAGGTGTGGGGCTGGATGGCACCCCAAGGCCTCTCTGCCAGCAGCAGCAGCAGCAGCAGCAGGCACAGGGACTGAATGACAGCCACCACACAGCAGATTGTGGAAAAGCACAGGTGCGTGCGCACACCCAGGGACCCTGGAATCTCCTGGCCCAGCCTGAGGCCCTGTGGTCAGAGCGGGGCTGAACCAGGTCATTTGCTGGGACCTCAAGGACTCTTTACAACATCCCGGAGTGTAGGGACATCAGCCCATCTTTCAGTCTAGAAACAAGTTCAAATGAGTGGAACAGCTCCCTCAAGGGCATGCTTAAAGCCTCAGCTCACGCCGCCAAGTGGAAGCCTGGAGAAGATGAGAATCTTTCCTCTTTTTCTAGAGACCTGGAGGGCCAGCTTCTCAAACTGCTGGCATTTTTCTTGTCTTCCTGGGTCTATTCCTGAATCCCCAAACCATAGTTCTGACTGAACTCGGGATCTTGTGCTTGCCAGGCAGGCGCTTATACTGCCGAGCTATCTCCCCGGCCTGCTTTGGAGCTCTTTCCAGGAGCAAAGGGCAGGCCAGCAGGGAAAGCCTCCCAACCTGACTTTTGCAGACATTGTCTGATCCCAACCAGAATGACCTGACTTTTGCAGACATTGTCTGATTTCATTTTTGAAGAAAAAAATTTTGCAGGACATGGGCAGGAAGAAATGAAATTGCATCCATTTCCCTTCCTGTACTGAGGAGCAAGCCGAGGGTGGAAGACTTCCTGGATTGGCCTTAAAGTCACCCCAGGTGGGGCACTGTCCATCCCAGCACGCTCGCCTGAGTGCAAAGGGTTTGTTTTTACAAATCTAAGGCTCCCATCTGGCCTTCCCTGAGTCTAGGAGGACATGGAGCTTCTGTCCCATCTCCCGGGACCAAGGTCAGAGTTCTCAGCTGACACACCTCCCCTTCCCCAAACCTAGCAAATGGCCTTGGATGCCGCAAGTGTCAGGCAACTGTCTTCTCATGCCCAATTATCAGGCACACACAAATCAGCCTCTCGTCCCACTGCCACTCCCCTGGCGCTGCAGATAAGGAGGTTCCCAACCCACAGTGCTTCGGGAAAGGTGGTTATTACAGCACCCAAGTCCTTAAATTAGAGTGACTGCATGAGCACTTGGCAAGGCCCCCTGAACGTGTGCCAGCCCCCGATGCCAGCCACATGGTCCAATCTGTCCTGAGCCGAGGATACCAATTCAGAAGCATTTGCTGAGCCCACCTGCTGGGCGTTCGGTGAGGATGTAAACCCAAAGCCGCTTGGAAGCCAGAAATTTTCCACACTCATGAAACCTCAGATGCAATTAGGAGAGAAACCCTCCTTTCTGTCATTTCCCCATTACATGTCTCTCTCCAAAGAATCTGGCTCAATGGGACAAATCTACAGCGCAACGCTTTCTCACTGCTCAGGAATCTGGCTCCTGGAAGTCAGGGTGTGCCCCTTGCACAAGGCTCCCAGGGAGGACAGAACACTTCCTCTCCCGGGTCCAGGGATCACATTCCTTACCTTTCAATTTGGACCGAACCTTATTGGCCGTCTTCTTGATGTCGGCAGTGAGGTCCTCCAGCTCCTGTTTGGTCTCTGAGGGGAAGGTAGACGGGAGGGTGAGATGTCCAGGTGGGACCCCAGTCCACTCCCTCGCCCGCCAGGCGGTAGCACTCACTCTCATCTGGATTGGGGGCGGCCAGGATGGCGCTGTGCTGCTTTTTCACCTGTTCCACATCTTCCGACAGTTTCTCAATGCAGCCTCGGATCTCTTCCACCTAGGGCGGCATGGCCCAGTGGTTGGGCCAGATGAGGGGATCTGCAAGGGCTCAGGGAAATGGGCTGGGCCCAGTGGGGTTCATGGCAGACTAAGGTGGGTGAGGAGTAGAGAAAGGGGAGCACACAGGAAGAAGGAAGCGGCTGGCTAGGGGCAGGCGCTTGGCTGGGGGCACTGTTACCTGCTCAAAGAACTCATCCATGAAGTGGTCCCGGTCCACGTGGACCACCTCCTCCTCATCATCACTGTCTTTCGCCTGCGAGGCAAAGGAAGGCTGGATTCATGAGCAGCCCCCACCTTGAGCCCTAAGAGGGCACCGCAGCACTCTCACCCTCAGCCTGCTACCATCATTCTGTCTCCAGGCTTAGTAAGGCTTCTCTGGAAGGCTAGTAGGCAGGACAGAGGCCGAGAGCTCCGAGTAGCCAGGTCCTGGAGGCTGAGAGAGCCGACAGCCCAGAACACCCTCGAGGAAATTAGCAAAGAGCCTTTTGGGATGTGCGTGGACTTGTGGGGGTCAGATTTATCCAGGAAGGAGGCATGTGGAGCAGCTGCCACTGGCCAGCCAGGACGGATGCATTTCAGTCTTTTAACAGCCGAGTACCAAATGCGAGCCTTGTGACAAGAGGTCTTGAACGGTGTCCCAGGAGCCGTGACCTCTCTGGCAATCTCCAGCAGCACCTGCCCGGGTCTTACTTCACTCCCATTCTCATCCCCTGCCACCCCCACCAAGCCAGACTTGTCCCCTGTGCAAGGTCACCTCGCTGCCTCGGCAGGCACCACACTGAACAAGCACACCAGGCCGCGCGAGAGGGCCAGAGGAGAGCTGCAGGCAGCCGGCCCCTCTTCCCAGCCTCCCCGCCCACTCGCGAACCCCTCCCAGGCGCCCTCCTTCTCGCCCAGCCCTTCCAGCCGCACACCCACCTACACTCCCAGCTTGCTTGGATTTCCCAGTTGCAACCTGCAGCTGCTCAGCCCTCCACCGCAGAGCTCAAAAACACAAAGGGATTCACCCACCCACCCACAGCACCACCGCCGCTGCCGACAGACAGACCAGGGACACAGACAGAAGAGCTGACACACAGGCACACAGAAATAGGCCCCTGACGCCCACGCACAGACACACTGACACGCTGATGCTGAGTGCGTGCAGACTGGCAACACAGGTGTGCAGGGACATGGATGTGCAGACACGTCCCCAGGGACCCAGGAGGACCCTGCTCCTGCTGAGCCTCGGGTCTGATGCATACCCAGGGCTGGGAAAAGGGAGCAGAGCTGCCTCCCGGGGGTCCCACGCCTGACTCTACAGTCTTCTCTGCTTGGGACAGAGGTCTGGGGACAAAATCCAAGCCGATGAAGCTTAACTGCTTCTAGAGTCCAGGTCAGGCCCAGTGGAAATGGAAACAGTTCATCTGATTTCCGGAAAGAATCTACTCAGAGCGCAGGCCGAATCCAGCCTTCAGAGCCTGAATGAAGTCAAGACAGGACCCAAACAGCCTCCCCCAGGGGCGCAGCCCCCAGAAGACCTGACAGCGCCCAAGCAGAAAGCAGACAGATCAGGTTGAGCCAGACCGGGCTCAGACAGATCCCAGACAGCTCAGATCGAAGCCAGACAGAGCCAGGGGGACCCACACACAGTCCCGACAGCCAGGAGAGCTGGGGATTGGCAGAACCTGGCAGCCTAGGGAAGAGCCTCAGGGGGCAGAGGAGACCTCCTGCTAGACCCTCTGCTAGACATTCGCAAGCCACTTGGCTTCCGGCTCCGGCCAGGGAGTCCAACCAGATCAGATCAGACACTTGCAGATAATCCCAATGTGTGCTCCAAGGGGAGGTGTCCACCTTAGCCCAAAGGAGGGGTACACGGTGAATGCTGGGGATCCTGACAGGACAGCAAGCCTCCTGGCTCCAGCCACCTTCGCAGTCCACAAGAGCCAGCTCCCTGAGGCCTTGTGCCACCAGAGCCCAAAGCATCCCACCCCACCCTGCGCCCCTTTTTCCGCCTCACTCAGCCTCCACTGAGCCTGGCCAGGTGCCTCAGAACTCGCCTGCTCTCCGTCTCGCTCCCTTTCCCAGGCCAACTTTAAAAAGTCCTGCCTAATGTCTAATTTTGCTTTCTCTTGTCCTTCCCAGGGCCATTTCCCTTAGATTTGTTCCTGGAGTGTCCTGGGCTACCTGTTCCCTCACCCTTGAGGGAGGAAGAAAGTTAGAAGGGCCCATGGACCATTTGTTCAGTATCATAATCACTAAGAGAGCTGAAGAGCACTAATCCTCTTTATTTACAAACACTTTTACACCCATAATCCCTTTTGATCCTCATCATCAAAGCTCCTGGAGACACAACCAGCAAATATCCTTGTCCCCATTTCACAGATGAGGGAACAGCAGGTTGGGGGGGGTGCGTGCCCAGGGCACTGGGCTGAACTAGACAGGAGCACTACGGCCACCCAGGACCTGCTCCCCCAGGCTGGCTGAAGCCAGTCTGTCACCTCCCAGTGACCGTGGGCCACGAGCTCCTTCACCCCCAGGTTGGCTCCTGCCAAAGCCCACTCCAGATGTGACTCTGTGTGAACAAACTGTCACTCAGCCTTCTACACGAGTCTTTCATTCTTGTTATCTCTTTTAATCTTCATTAAAACTCTGTAAGGACCATTGGCCAACATAATTGCAATTATGATAAACATTTAAATGGTGTTTTACAACATGCTATGAGTTGCTGCTTGCATTCTGCACATGTTGATCCATTTCATGCTTACAGCCCCGAGCATCTCGTGCTTACAACGTTATGACCTCCTCCTGTTTGGTTTGGTGTTTGAGACAGGGTCGTCCCAGTTGGCCTTGCACTTGCTAAGATCCTCCTGTCACAACCTCCAAGGGCTGGGATGACAGGCTGTCCCATCAAGCCCCGCTTACAAACCCTTTTATAGATGGGGAAGCTGAGGCAGACAGAGCTTAAGGAATAGGCCACAGGGCTGGGAATAACGCCCAGGGGCACAAGTGCCTGTCTGGTAAGCACAAGTTCGATTCCTGGTACAAAAAGAAAGACACAGGGACCGGGGAGATGGCTCAGTGGAATAAGCACTTCCCTGGCAAGCCCAAAGGCCTGAGTTCAATCCCCGGTTCCACAAAAAAAAAAAAAAAAAAGAAAAGAAAAGAAAGAGAGAGAGAGAGAGAGAGAGAGAGAGAGAGAGAGAGAGAGAGAGACAGACAGACAGACAGACAGACAGAGACAGACAGAGAGAGACAGATAGACAGAGACAGAGAGGCAGAGAGACAGACAGAGAGAGAACGAGAACAGGCCCCATGGCCCAGCATGGAGCGCATGCCTATAATCCCAGCATTTGGGAGACTGAGACAGGAGGATCACTGTGAGTTAGAGGTCAGCCAGAGCTACATAATAAGTTCAAGGCCAGCCTGAACTACAGAAAGACCCCATGGAAAGGAAAAAATAAAGTGGCCTCATATCAGCGGTTTAGGGCCACATGACTCCTCTTTGAGCCTTGCCTCTGTATCTACCACGGCAGTAACGTCCACCCCACATGGAGACTGAGAGGAATCCATGAAAAAAGTGGAGGAAGTGCCTAATGCTGCAGAGAAAACATGCTTGGTGCGGGATGGCTACTACTTCCTGCCTCTCCCAGGTCTTGGATGAGGAAAGAGTTCACAAATCTCACCTTACCTGCCTCGGGCTTCATAGCCAATGAGGCCAGAGGCAGAATTTGAACCCAGGACTTCCAAATCCCACTTTCCCCATCCACCCTGCTGCAGGTGGCAGTCCCTCTATTCCTGCCTGGTCCGAGGGCCAGCTCTGTTGTACCCTGGTGCTTCTGAGCTCTACAGCCAGGACAGAACTCAGTCAGAGGGACTCCTGGTTCTAGGAAGAGCCGAGACAAGAAGCCAGGCCTTCCAGCCTCTGACTGACTTGCCCTGTCACCCCAGGCAGAGCTCAGCTGAGTCAGCAGCTCTCTGGGTCCCCAGTCGCATCTCCCTTGAGATGGGCAGACCCCAGGCATGCGTTGAGCGCATGCACACGTATCCACCCTGTTCTGAGGCGTGTGGGTTTGGTAATGAGCACAACCCTCACTTCTGGAAGAAGTCAAACCAGTCTAAGCAAAGCCAGAATGGCCAGGCCTGGTTTCATACGCCTGTAATCCCAGCACTCTGGTAGGCTAAAGCAGGAGGATGGAACATTTGAGTCCACTCAGCGATCTAGTGAGACTGGCTCAAACATGGTCAAAGCATGTAGTCAGGCTGGCCTTGAGCTGTGTAGTTTAGGCTGGTCTCAAACTCAACAGCGATCCTCCTGCCTCAGCCTCCAGAGTGCTGGGATTATAGGCACGCACCACCACACCTGGCTACAAAAAAAAAAAAAAAAAAAGACTGGGACTATAGTTCAGTGTGAAGGCCCTGGGTTCAATCTCCATTAGCAGAGACAGAGACACAGAGCAAGCAGGCAGGTGTAGGCAAATGGGACCCTCTAGGAACACAGGATCAAATGTGCCCCATCTCCACTGTGGTGGCCTCAGGTTATGGATGGATAATCTCAGACTTGGCTTCCTCGTATACAGACTGGGCAGGATAAAGTTGTTTCCTGTTGAATCTTCACTGTCACTGCTCGGGGGAGGGCATGGGGACTCTATGTCCCTCCCATTTGACAGATGAGGTTCTGGGCCATCGAGTGACTTACTCTCAGCCCTGAGGCGAGAGGGGTGACCGGGCCTAGGACTGTGCCCTTCACTGCTCATGGCTGCTGGCGAGCTTGTGAGGATTTGAGGCAGCTGTGCAGGGCTCCTGAACATCTGGAACCCCTGGGCCACGGGCTCTGGGCTCTTCAGACCCTCATAGCCAGGCCTGCACTAAAGATGTACCATGAAAGTGCTTGTGAGGAGCCGGGGAGATGGCTCAGTGGAATAGGCGCTTCCCTGGCAAGCGCAAGGGCCTGAGTTCAATCCCTGGTTCCGCCAAAAAAAAAAAAAAAAAAGGAAAAAAAAAGTGCTTGTGTGTATGGGTGCATGTGTGCACATGCGTGCACGTGTGTGTGTGTGTGTGTGTGCGCACATGTGTGCCTGTGCACAGAGGACAAGGGCAGAGTCCCAAAAGGAAAGAAGAGATGTCTACAGGAGCCAGCAAGTAAGTGACCAGACAGATGGCAAGGTGGTAAGGGAAATGGGCGGAACAAGATGGAACTGGGTGGTGAAGTCGCTGTGTGTGTGTGTGTGTGTGTGTGTGTGTGTGTGTGTACACCCAGGCATGCCCAGGCACGCTGACACAATGCGCACCCTCGCTCCTAGGGTGCAAGCAGCATTTGATCTAGAGGCAGCAGCCGCTCTGCCGAGCCCCCTCCAGCTTCTGTCCATCTGTCTCCTTGCCTGGCCTCTCCTCCACCTTCCGCGCCACCCTGCGCTGAGCGGTGAACAAGACTGGCAGGGAGGGCCAGCGTCCTAGGAGGTGAGGTCCTGGGGGCAGACAGGGAGTGCAACAGAAAAGGGAACTTCCAGGGCACTAAATAGCAGGACAGAGAGGAGCGGGAAGCAGGGACAGAGAGGAGCGGGTATGGGGGAGACTTTCCACGGGGGTGGGGGGGCAGGGTTAGCTTGGTTTTTTGTTTGGTTTGGTTTTTGGAGGCAGGTCTCGATGTAATTCTGTGTAATGCAGGCTGGTCTTGAACTCAGCAATCCTCCTGCCTCAGCCTCTCAAGTGCTGGGATTATTGCATATCTCAGCCACATGGGGTGGTTAGGGAAGGTCTTTCTGGAGAGGTGACATTTGAGCTGAGTCCCCAAAGAACCCTTAGCCCCTGCCTGTGGGAATACGCCTTGGCCTTCAGCAGCTTCAAGCTCCCTACAGCCCCTCTGCTCCTGTCCTGGGTCTCCCCACGGCCCCTGCTTCAGCTGGATGAGTCCCCTCTTCCCCTCTTCTCCCTCTGCCTCATCTGCTCCCCTGTCCTCTCAAGCCGGGCCTTGCTTACTCCAGCTCCCCTTCAGGGTGCAGCCGGAGCTCCATTTCCCGCCAGGCTGCCTGTTTATTTGAGGG